CTGTTTTTGCTATTTTCCATGCTGAAGAAAAATAAGAGGAAATATACTTTCTGATTAAATAAAAAGATGATTTTACCATTTTGAATAGGAAGCATTATTTTCTCTATGACTTTTAAAAATACTCATTTTTGACATAAGATATTCCAGTGTTATGTTACTGTCATGTTCATGAGCAGCAAGGGCCATTTTGTGTTTTATCTCCTCTTGCTCAGTATCTGTGAGAAAGCAATTTAAATTTTTCTGTTGTCTGAAGCTAGGGAAGAAAATCTGTCAAATGCAAAATCTGTGTATGCCAACATTCTAATTAGCAGAACCATTCTTTGAGAAGGATTTCTTTTGAATGGATGACATTGTGTAAGCTATCTATGGTGTGCCTGCCTTGAAAGTCAAACATCTAGCATTTAATATTGAGACAGCTGTAATTGCTATTGTGTTACACAAGAGTTTGGAAATTCTTTTTGGGAAAATGGAGCCTGGGTCAGATTTCTGACTTAGGATCTCAGTAGTGGCTGACTTGCACTGCTGGATGTAGTGGCAGATATCTCCACTGCTTGTCAGGGCCTGGTATTGGGAACAGATCATTTCAGTAGAACCTCTCTGTGTGTTTGTAGGACTTAACCCAAATCCACAGAGGATTATCAGTTTTAAGCTGTTTCTGCTAAGATTTGAGTGGAATTGTAACATATTATTTTCTTCTATAACATAGCAATATTACTGCACATATAGTACTAATAAACTACCTTAACCGTAATATATGAATGCAGATTCATGTTCATGCACTGTTACTTTTATAAACTGATGTAAATATATAATTAATATATCTGTAAGGTACATAAGGGGGATGTTTTGATGGACAGAGGCATTGAGACACCTGAACTGTAGGGAGGTGTATAGTTCTAAAATTTCTATCCATCCACTGTCTTAAAGCACAAAAAATTTTCATAAGTAAGGGAGAAAATTAATTTTATGTGCCTTCTTCAAAATAAGTTGAAAATCTGGTTTAAGGTCTGTTCTGCAGGCAAGCAGCTGTGTCAGTTACAAAACACAAGAGACTGCCTTTTGTGTGTGTCATGGTAATTACAGCCAAGCAAAAACCTGGAAATACTTGCTGTGCTAATTAGAATGTGGAGTTATGCTTAAAAAAATCATGTACTTTGAAATCCTGAATGCATTGTCCTGCTGGACATCCACATGTTACCCAGACATTATTGTTGCTGTCAGTCTCCTCATCACATTGGCTGTCCTCTGGCAAGCTCTGTCCCATCATGCTTCGCTGGGCACCCTGATGTTGTTTCCACAAGTTGTCAGGTCACATTTGGAGGTCTCTGCAGAGAGGTCCAGTCCTGGTCGGTGTTTCTGCTGCAGTTTTGCCATTGATATATGGTATGCAGTCAAGGGAAAGCTTACTTGCAGTCATTTTCCTCCAGACTGCCTTTATCTGGGAAATCATGATGATTTATTCAGCATTTTTTCTTATGAATCAGATTGTCTGTGGTTGATGGAGGAGGATAATATACCAATAAGAGCTGTGGAGTCATATGCAGTGGAAATGGATGCTGGTCAAGAGAGGCACTTAAATGTCTCTTCCATTACATGCACTGCAGTTCCTGCTGACTGTCCTGACTGTCCCAACAACATTCTTTAGGTTATTCACGTGTTTCAGAAGTAACCAACACATTGCTGAAAGCTTTGGTCTTGCCAAGATGTCAGAATTACTCTAAGATCTCTTAAGTGCTAAAATACAAGTAGCTGGAGGAATGTGCCCAAGTCCTTTGAGTTTTTGAATAATAAAGTTTGCTAGAGCATGTGAGGATTAAGCTTGGTGCTTATGCACTTCTGCACAGTTTTCTTACAACTGTTTCTCAGTTACAAATATGTTCTAAGTATCAGCATATTGATTTTCAGTGAATTGGCACTGGTTAAGTGATGAAAGTGGGATTTGTAATCAGATTTATTAATGCTTCTTCAATAAAAATGAATTATTCTTAAATTGGGACTTACTTTCGGACAGAGGGATGCATAATACATGCATGTTGGGAACTCTAGTAGGACTTGAACCTGAGTTCAGGGGCTGATTAGGAGAATGATTTCCAGACAGCAGAGACAAACATCAGTAACCTTTCCACTCCTAGCAGGGTTACCAAGGTAGCATTCAAATCCTCAGTAGGTCTTGCTATTATGGGGGCAGATTTTCAGAGGTTCTTAACCCAGCTTCTAATTTAGGGCTGCTACTTTAAGCCCACAGTGTGCCCAGGCAAACTAGGCTAATGTGGGTATGTACAAACTTGGGGCAGCTTCCACCAGAGCTGTTCTTTTGAGGAGAGACAGGCAACTTTGACATTAACTTCTGCCTTTTGCAGCTTCTCTGTTTGGACACCTTTTAATTAAAATCTTAGGAGTGTTCAAGCAGTCATTATTGCATTTGGCACTTATCATGTACAGCTCACCCTGCTGTGTGCTGCTGTGGTGTATTTTAGCTTTGGATCAATGTCCAGCACATTCCCTCCTCTGCATTTTCTTCAGGTGTCTTGGATTGGCTGACCTGGGACTTTTGGGACACACATTCTGACATGAGAACACAAATATTTAAAACACATCTGGTACTATTTAGTATGGTAGTGAGAAATAATATACATGCTGCTGCTTTTGACATATTTGAGGGTTTTTTAAAGGTTTTTCAGCTTCTTGTGGCTTTTTTTTTTGTGCTACACCCAGGAGAAAGCAAAGCAGCAGCTTTCAGAGTCTGTCTGAATGCTGAAGGGAATTGCACCTGGGTGACTGCAAGGGAAGTGCAACAGCAGAATGGGCAACAGTGCTCTCACCTCAGTTGGTGTGTGGTGAGGCAGTTTGTCTTTAGAAACTTTGGCTTCACAGGCACTGTTTTAAAGAACTTCTGTCTACAGAGGCTGAATTGAGCATCCTCTCACTGGGCCTCCCAACACTTCTGTCTGCAGAGGTACAGATACCTTACACAAAGGGGGTCCCATAGTCAGGAAGGCTTTGCAAGACTTGCATGTACATGGAAACTGGGAATTTTGCTATGAAAATGTCAGAACACATGTTGCATGTATCCATGTTCTACAGTGGTGCATGTTTAATGGACAAACCCCATGCAGCTTCTTTTTCAGGAAACTGATCATTTCTGTAATTTGCTGTTTAATAAATTAGATATTGAGTTTTGCTGTAGGCACTGGTTTTTGGTTTTTTTTGTGCTACTGTAAAACTGATATTCTATTCCCTAGAACATTAGATTCTGGGTACAGGGTATAATTATAAAGAAATTAATTTGGCTTTAACAAGTTACTGTCAATATACATTTTGTTGCTCTTAAGAGAAACAAAAAAAGGTCATGTACTCACTTTAAAGGTTTAAAATACAGATGAATTAATACAATTTTACAAGGTGAACTCAAGACAGCCTCAGTGATTATCCTGGGTGACTGCTGATTTTTTCTGTTAAGAGAATTTTCTGGGTAAAAATAGATGTACTCAAAGGTCATGATGGATTAAGTCTCAGGAATCTAAACTAAGAAACTTCTGTCTGACTTTGCCAGTCACAACACCAAGGAGTTTTCTTTACAACAGCCCACGAGCTGCTTGTTCACAGATGGCAGACCCTGGTGTGCTGTGCTAAACTTGCCACGTGCCAGCAGACAGGAACTCCTGAGTGTGGAAAGCTGAGGCTGCAGGAGGTGCTCCTGTGGGAGTGAAGGGAGATGTCTGTACCTCACACAAAGGGACAGATTTTAGTTGGAATAGGGATGGTTTTTGTAGAAGGATGTCACACTGCAGTAGAGAGGGAGAATGAGTACAGCAGTTCAGCCTAAGTGAACTTCCTGAGAGAACAGGCTTCCTTAGCATTGTCTGCAAGGTTAGATATTTTGGCAGCACTTTCTACTTCAATATATCCTTAAATACTAAGGTCTTTGTATTATTAATCAGCTTTAAATTAAAACTGGTAGTTTTAGATGTTCCTTTTAGCATGTTGTTTCAATTCCCATAGAGCTGTTTTGAAAATAAATGCTTGTCTGTATGTTTTCATGTATGTATAAATAATAAATCAACACTGAAATCAAGTATTAACACCATCAACTTTAGAAACTCTTCACATCCATTATTAAGCTTGTGGCTAAGTGATGCTGTCGGTGTAGATGGCAGCTTTGGCCCGGGCCATGTTCAAGGCTGGAGCACAGTGCAGTGCCAGTGCAGTGGTGCTGCCTTTGGAGGCACAACCATGCTCCCAGATATTACTGATAATTATCAGTTAAAAAAAGCCCTTTGCTCCATCAGTGTCTCAAGTGTCCCTTCTGCCACCTTTTCAGCAATACCTGGCTGATACTTATTACTTGTTAGGAGCTCTGCTATTTCATGAGTTAATTTAATAATGGTAAAAGTATAATAAATATTTTTCCCCAATTTTTAAGGATCTTAAGGTGTTGATTTTTGGAAAATTTTTGATTTCCATTTTGTGGTGATTTGTTCTTCTGGATTTTGATTGGTATTTAATAATATTTCAACTTAAATAGGAGTGAAAACTATGTTAGGATTTCAGTGAACTTTATAGAAGGGCAAATCATTGGTTAGAGTAGATTAGAATTTTTTGGCAACAAGTATTTAACTTTCAAAATTCAGAGTTGCTGTAACTTTGCATGAACAAAGCATTTGATGCTTTTTTTTTTCCTTCTTCAGAAAGAGAAAACACTTTTTAGAAAAAAGGTATTTAAAGTTTGAAAATTTAAGAATGTATGACGTTTCCTAGGAAGAGATCTCAGAAGAATGTGATGTGTGTGGCCCCAGTCTTGCAGTGCTTGTGCTGGTTATTTCTTCCCCACATTGTTCCTGGGTGCTGTTCATTCCAGAAGAACTTCAGACTGCAGGTGTTTCTGGACTGTGTGCCAGCAGCATTGCAGGAGGTGCACACTCAGGTCCTGAGAGGTTCCTGTTACCCTCAGTGCCATGAAGGAGCTGTCCAATGATTTCTCCTTTTGCTGTGCCCTTTAGGGAAGGACTGGTACCTGGTGCACGTGTCACTTACTGTGACAGACGTGAATGACAACGTCCCTGAGTGGGCCATGGAGCCCTTCCCCTTCCTGGCTGTGGTTTCCCCCGAGGCTGCAGGAGGCACTGAGGTGTACAAGCTGCTTGCTGTGGATGCAGATGAAGGGATCCATGGAACTGTGGAATATTTCCTCTTGGAAGGTAAATTTTAACCCTCCCATTCCCTGAGTATCATGCTTCACTATTGTGACTTTTTTATCCTCAGTTTAATTTTCCCTTCCTCCTGCGAGAGGTCCATAAACCTTCAGCTCTAGGTGTGAGAAAAATCCACTTTTATTGATGCATGCATATATTTCTTTGCAAAGTTGAGTTCTTGTCAAAATATATCCCTGGGTATGATGGGGAGAGGAGCAGTCAGTAATCCAAGGCTTTGGCAAGGGGTGGCAATGGGGACTGTATTTATGAGAGTCTGTGGAGGAGTAGTTTGTTGGGTGGAGAGGAGGGTTAATGTTCCTGTTCCTTGTGGCAGTCATGCTTCTGGTTCATTTGTAAAGAACTTTTAAAGGGCTGTGCTGTGCAAAGGTTGTACAGACTCAGTGATAATATTTTGTGTGTCTCCTTTTAAGAAACTTTAGTAATAATTCAAAAGTGTCTGAGCAGATGAGGAGCAGCAATACCCCTCCAGTGGAGTATTTTCTGGTAAGGGACACTTGGGGTCAAGCAACAGCAAAGTTTTGAAGGATAAAAGAAATATGGAGAGAGACTATTCAGAAGAGCCTGGAGTGACAGGACAAGGGGGAATGGCTTAAACTGACAGAGAGTAGGTTTAGGTGGGATATTGGGAAGAAATTACTCCCTGTGAGGGTGAGGATGCCCAGCTACAGAAGCTGTGGCTGCCCCTGGATCCCTGGAAGTGTCCAAGGCCAGGTTGGACAGGGCTTGGAGCAGGCTGGTCTTGTAAGAAGTGCCCCTGCCCATGGTAGGGGGCAGAATGAGATGGACTTTCAGGTCCCTCCCAATCCAAACTATTTTATAATTCAGTGATAAAGAAGAGTGATAATTGTCCAGAGAGTAAAAAAGAATTTTGAAATGCGGTCATGAGTGATGAATGTAATGACTGATATGTAAGTTCTAAACAAACTTTTCAACCTTAGTGTGCATGCTGATCCTAAGCCAAAGCCAACTTGGGAATTAGCACTGTATTCTCCTAATTGTAATCAAATAAAAACACTCTAATAGATGACAATTTGTGGACATGTTCCTTTCAGGTGGTGAAGACAGATTTGAAGTTGAGAAGGACACTGGCTGGATTAAAACCACAGGTTTGCCACTGGTGAGGGACAAGGAGTATTTGCTGACTGTACTGGCAGCAGACAAGCTTGGCAGCAGAGGGTCCCCAGCCTCTGTGTCTGTCATTGCTGGATTCCGGCCGCCGCAGTTCACCAACATCTCGTACTGTGTGTACGTTCCTGAGAGCACCCTGCCAGGAGAAGTGTAAGTAACAGCTCACAGCAGGGCAGGGAGCTTGTGTCCTGCTTTGGACTTCTCTCTGATCTCCCCAAAGCCTTGGTATGTTTGTGAATCATAAATAAATACTGTGAGAAGCAATTCAGGTCTCTTAATAGAAGTGATCCCAACACAGTTTGGTGTTGTACTGTTTTAGTCACCCTTTTACAGGGAGGGGTGCTATTGAATAGTTGTGCTTTCTTACTTTTTGAAATGATATGGAAAGGATTAGAAGTTGATTGTTTCTTAACTTTCAAACAAAATGAAGAATAGAAATTAGTACTGTTACATCATGAAGAAAGATATCCTGTGTGAAAGAATACATTAACTTTACTTGTCAAATTTGGAGAAGTGCCTCCACTCCCAAGAGAAAATTGGAAAAACCAAGATTCTTTATCCTGTCTTCATCACAATGACAAACTGAGCTAAAATGAAGATGCCACAGAACTTGCTATTTTATTTCTCCACCCTTTGTATCTCCATGTCAATTGAAATATCACAGAAAATGTTAGTAACATAAGTCCATCTGAATGCTCAGTCCCTTCTTTTCCAAACTGTTTTTTTTTTTTCTTACAACAAACATTTTCTCTTCCACTTGAATAGAGAATACTTTTGTCCAGTCAATGTGTTCCTTCTGTGGCAGTTCAAATATTATTAATATTATATTATCTGTGGTGCTAATGTTCAGTCTGGAGCATTCAGTTTTACAGTGTCCAAATAACCAAGGACTGTTAAGATTTAAAACAAAATCTTAGTAGATAACAAGGTTTTTTTTTTAAAGCTGCAATAAAGTTAAATTGCACGGGCATAAAAGAAATGGAATAACTGCAAAATACTATAATGTCCAACTGGTACCTGTTGTATTGGGTTCAATAATGTTTAGAATTAAAAATAAAATTATTCAAAACTTTTTTAGCACTATTACAAATAGGTTTGCACACCTTAGGTGATAGTAGATTAGTCAGCTGATCAAATGACTTGGCAATATCCAAAAAGAATGAAGTATTTTGTGTGGTTATTGCATCTACAAAGGCTTGAATATACACAATGAAAGTGTGAAAGTTGTTTCTGTAATGTGTTTTCCAGAAATAGCCATGAAAATCCATCTGGAATCCTAAAATTCTCTTATTTAAATTGGGCCAATTACTCAAGTATGAAGGTGTAGTGGTTTTAGTTTGCCAAACCAGAGCAGAGTTGCTGTCATGCACTGAACTTCTGGGTTTAGGATTTCCTAATTAGAGCCTGATTTAAGGCTGCTGCTGAGCAGAGGATCATTACCAAACCTTTCCCTTCCTTTGGTCTGCCTGTCACACCAATGAGCTACAGCTGCACAGGCAGCCTGAGCTGAGCAGGTACAAAGACAAAAAAGTTTTCAGTTGGGTTGTTAAATGTGCTCCCAGCATGGCCTTGAGATTTTCAGTGCTGGCAGGAGAGGAGAGGTGGCTTGAACATGCAGCCAGGGCAGGGAGATGGAAGGAGAGCAAAATAATTCCTATGGGCAGGAATGCAGTCATGCACCAGCTGAAACTGCCTGTGAGACCTCAGCCCAGGAAAATACAGGAGAAAACTGAAGAGAGATGATGACCCACAGCAGTGCTGTCCATTGGTTCAGTAGTGCACCAGAGGGAAGTGAGGCACAGCAGGATGGCAGTGCAGGGGGGGGAAAAGGAGTTTGCACAAAATGAGTTTGTGTGTTTCTGACTGTAATTGCCACATGATCATGTTGGTGTGTTCTCCTGGGAGATGGAATTCTTTTTCCTAAGAAACTTGCATGTTAAAGCAAAAGAACTTGAGGAGTTAATTTTCTGGTTTAAATATTTTAAAAATATTTAGTTTTAAATTTCTTCTTTTAGTTCTTATTGTGGGTGTTTCCACTTGAAGGCTTTAAATTCATTGCACTTCAGTGGAAAAAAGATAGTGTCAGATGAGCTAAAAATATATGTCCAGTGTAAGCTGTAACACACACTGCTGTTAGGGCCTGGCTTTTATCCTTTTGCTGTTATCTATTGGAACTTTAGGATGGTATGACTGCAGCAAACTTACTGTGCTGTTATTAAAACAAATCTTTTTCATCTTGCTTTATCTTTTAGTTTCCTGCCTGAAAACCATCACTACCACAGAAGGAAGTTGAAGTAGGCAAATTCAGTTGCAGCAAAATTTAAATCCTCTGTTCCTGCATTTTTAATCCTTACTGTGTTCTGCTTCCAAGAATCTTTATCTGTTTAACCCCAAGGTGATAGAAGCTCTGTGTAACAAAATGCTTGAATTTGGTGTTTAGATACAGCTGTCACTGCCTTCATTGAGGATACCTCTGAGCAGACCTGCAGGCTTGCACCATCACTACTGATATGCATTGCTTTTGTCATATTTTTCAGAATGTCGTGTTATGTCCTTGAGTCCTCTCTTTTTATTTCTTTTAATGCAGCTTTCTTACAGTCACTGCTGTGTCCTATCAAAAGGAATCCCTGAGCTACAGTTTGCTCACTAATCCTGGGGCTCTGTTCAGCATTGATGGGGCCACAGGAGAGCTCAGTCTAACTCGGAGTGTGGATTATGAAGGAGACCCCCACCAGTTCCTCCTTTTGGTCAGGGCAGAGGAGAGTGAGGAGCAGTTCAGCACTGCTGCTGAGGTAGGTGTTCCCCTCCAGCAGCCTGGCTGCAGTTCCACTTTCCTTCATCCTTTGGGATCTGGACAGATCCACCAGGAGCTCCCATTTCCCCATGCTGGCTGTTCTGCTGTCCATTTCAAAAGTCTTTCTGTCTCTGGGGAGATGTTGAGGAGTGGTTTAGGTGCTCTTGGATTTCCCTCTTGCAGATGCTCTAAAGGCCGTTTCTGAGGGATCAGTATGCCATCCCATCATGGATCCCAAGTCTTACCTGGTAACACATGGAAATGGGTGTGGCCAAGAGTTTTTGCCTTACTCTGCTTTAATCAAGCATGAGGTACATTTGTGATTATTCCACTCTAAAGCAAAGGCAGGACAAAGAATTACTTGTTTTGTATCAAGAACACAAAGTGAACTCATAAAAGAAGAAAGTAATAAAAATTCACTGATATTAAAAGCTGATGGTTTGTGGTATTTTAGAAAGCTGTTTGACAGCAAAAATATTTCTTAATATAGTTATTACAGTTATTTGAATTCAGAGATTCACTGAGCTAGGAAAAGCATACTATGTGAGTTTGTTCCTGCTGCAGGAAATAAGAGAGGGAGCTGGAGACAGAACTACTAGGATGAAGTGTGAGGACACAGAGAGACAGGAAGCAGTGTGCCAGTGTAGCAAACACTGGCTCTGGCACACCAGAGCCTGATGGTTTCAGTTGACCCTTGTGTACTGCAGGATGAAGAATGGTAAAATATGACTCAAAAGAGGATTATGAGATGATTTTACAAATATATTTAGCCTAGAGGTAGTTCAACTTGTACCTGCTTTACACTGATACAACCGCAATAGTTGAGAGAGCAACTCTAGTTCATGCACAGCTGCTCTGCAAGGGTCATGGAATACAGCTCTGCTTGGTGCTCTGTAATGCAGAATGCCTCCAATGACTGCATAAAGTGCAGCATGAGCCACTAGAAAAGCTCCTTTACACACTCCTTACAGTTGGGAGTGTAAACTGTGGACTCATATTTGACACAGGAATAAGAAAGCATTTGTAAAGATGTTAGAGGCAAAATTGTATCTTCTACTTGGTTTCCCAGAACCATAGAATATCCAGAGTTGGAAGGGACCCACAAGGATTGAGTCCAGCTCCTGGCCCTGCACAGACACCCCAACAATCCCACCCTGTGCCTCAGAGCATTGTCCAAGCACTCCTTGAGCCCTGTCAGGCTTGGGGCTGTGATCACTTCCCTGGAGATCAGTTCCACTTATATCTGATTTGTGCTGCTGTAATTAAATTCAGAACTTGGCCTTAGAGATTTATAATGCTAAAATGTAATATGCTTGGCAGTAGAGTTTTTAGTGTTACAAATCACAGAAGTGTTGCAAGATAAGATAATGGAAAAAGGGTGCTTGGCAAGCAGATGGTGCATTTTCCTTTAAACTAGTAATAAGGAATAATCAATGGAGATGAAGGGTGAGTGGAAAACATTGCTGCAGGGTCAGGGACTTGGCAATTGCTAGTATGGAATGTAATATTTCAGTGGCACTCAGCAGAAAAAGAGCAATCTAAGAAAAATGTCTCATCCTATAGCTGCTGAAGACTTCAAGGATGTTTTTGGGAAATCCTTCCATGTGGTATTTCCATAGCAGTGAGGTTGTTCCCTTGATTCACTTTGCTGTTTAACATTCCCCTCCTCCCCATTTAGGTTTTGGTTGTAATCACAGATGTGAATGACTGTGCCCCCGAATTTCACCAGTCGATTTACAGCAAAGTTGGTGTTCCTGAAACAGTTCCTATGACAACTGCACTTCTCCAAGGTTGGTGCTCCTGGAGCCATTTATTATGTTCACTGTATTTTTCTCCCTTGCACCACTTAGAATTCAGTTCAGAAAGCAAAATTACTTGTCCCAGCGTGGGTTGTTGCAGCTCTCTGAAGGCAAATGACACCTTGTAGATTCGTGTCAGAGTTATTTACTGGTGCCACAGCCCAAACAATTCTGGGGGACAGGAATGCAAAGGAAACAGATTTTCTTTGTGGAATTTTGAAGTATCAGAACTTTGTTGTGGCCGGTATTACAGCAGCAGGCTCATAGTAGCAGTCTTGCCACATTTCTTGAAGGAAGAGAGTGATCCTGGAGTTATGGACACCTCAGCTCTCCTTCTGTGCCTGTCTCAGAGTCCTGTGTGGGCTTGCTGTAGGAGTTCTGCTCTTTTACATTAACAGCCTCTTGCACACTTTAACTGTTCTGTGTGAGGTTTTGTTTGGATGCTTGACAAGACTTTGCTTCTTCCCAGGGAGACCAAGAACTTGAGCTTCAAGTAGTGGTGCTCTGTAAAGTGTAGCAAGAAAACAAATTTGTGTCTATTAAGCAGATGTACAAGGGCCTTGTATTAGTCTTTAACCCTTACATAAACTTTCTCTAAATCTTGAGGGGGGGAAAAAGGAAATTAAACTGCTGGAAAACTGCTTTTCCCTAGTAAACAGGCTTTTATAACCTCCTATTGTTCTGCTTAGTGATTTATCCTGGACTAATGGTAGCTTATTCATTACTGGTCTGGTAACTGTGCTTTTAGCTTAGATTTTTGTAGATTATGAATAGGATCTGACAAACACATAATGGGCATCAGTTGAATAATATATGTAAATATCCCATCTTTAATTTCCCAGTGTGTGATCTGAGTGATTTTGAGTCAGCACTGTAGGTCAGGTGAACATGAGAATATACTTCTCTATGTGAGAATGCATTCTTGATGGCACAGGACTCTTTACCAAAGTCAAGATCTAGCATCTAAATTCTCCCAGGGACTTAACTTTTGGGTTTTTAAATTACCTATTTTTGCATCTGATTCTTGGCTGTTTAGATGGCCTGGAAAGGCCCGGGGTGGCCTTGGACAGCCCGCGCTTCAAAGGACGAGAAGGGACTTCAGATCTTTTCTCGGTCTTTATTAATTGTTTATCTAAAAGATTTTCCCTCTGCCCGACAGAGGTCTGCTCAGCAGTCAGCCATGAGCACACACTGAGAGCCTCTGGGGCGGTCACCTATCTTTATACTCGGAGTTATGTATACAATATTTATCAGTTTTCCCCAATACCTTCTATCCTTATTAACCAGTGCACTTTTAGTAATAACCAATCCCAAAGTGCCAACATCACCACAGAAGATGGAGGCCAAGAAGAAGAAGAAGAACAGGACACGCCCCAATTCCTCCATCTTACTTCTTTAGACCCCCCTGTACAGAAATCTTAAACCCTGTGTTTCACTCTAACTAACTTATCCCTTCACCATTGACCCCAGTGAAATCCTCCTATCCTCATACTGATGTCGTCTCCCATGTAGGATCAAAGTCCAGCCACCAGACACTTCTGGCAACATTCCAGGACTCCCGAGCCCCCCAGGGGTGGTCTCGGTCACTCTGCACCTCAGTCCTGAGAGGCTGAGATCCCACATTTTTGAGTAAGGGTTAGTTCACTAAAAAGCACAAGGGACAGCAGAGTTCTTGACTGATTTCAAGCACCACATGCCAAGGCAAATCCTTTCACAGTACCAGTAAATGCACTTACCATTCCAATTCACTAACTTGGATCTACTCAATGTCTTTCTCTCCTCTTCTGCCAGTGACAGCCACTGACTGTGACTCCAAGGAGAATGCCCAGCTGCTGTATTACACTCTGAGCCAAGATTTCAGCATTACCTCTCATGGCACTGTTTTCCCAGCCACAAGGTTGGACTATGAGCGCCCCAACCACCTCTATGAGTTCATCATTATGGCTGTGGATCAGGGGGAAGAGCCCAGGACTGGCACAGCAACTGTTAGGATCCATGTCTCCAATGTGAATGATGAAGCACCTGAGTTTTCTCAGACTATGTAAATACATATTCCTCAGACTCTGTTATCTTTTACTGTTGCTTTTTGTGTTTTGGTTGCATGGCTGATCACAGAATGGAAATTGGCTTTGGTTCAATCCAAGCTGAGAGCTGGTCTGACAATTGTGGGGTGATATTTTGACTCTGAAATTTGTAACAAAAAAAAAGGTAGCATATAAACAATATATCTTATTACATTTTTATTTATTATTATTTATTATATCTCTTTAATGCACTTTTATTTTTTCCAGTGTGTACTGAAAGATATGGGACAATAATTTCAGATCATACAGTTCAGGAGCACCCCTCCACCACCAAAGGAAATCAGGCAGAAAAAACAGGCAACAGAATTGTTGCCATCAGCCCTCATCTAGAGACATGGGGGAATTCTGCCTTTTAATTAGGCAGTTTAAACTTAGAGTCAGCAGTCTGCATCCCTGGTTTATAGCTGTCAAAAATGCTTAGATGACACAATGCTAAATGGCAACTGAATTACAAAACCCACAAGATAAGTACCATTAAGTGGAGTTCACTTAATTTCACTTTCCATCCTCTACAAATTGTATGTATATATTTTTTTCTTCTAAATACATGTGAGCACTTTTCTTCCATAGCTGGGACTCAGCAGCATCCAAAGCAATGCCAAAAGTGCTAAAGACTTGCACTGAGGCTTAGTAATGGAATTTCCAGTCAGTTTCTGCACCGAATTCTACTCTTAAAAGTAGAAGATGCCCAGAACAAAACCAAAGCAAAGATTTCAGTGATGTTAAGCTTGGGGTTTAGCTGAACAAAGCATCAAAGCTTTCTGACAGACCTTGTTTTATGTGCAGATAACCTCTGGCTTCAAAATCTTGTGCCTCTCTTTCTTTTCTAAACATTGCGGAAGAGATATGACTTGGAAAATTTGATCTTTTGGAATTTATTATTGCATTTATCTATGTTTTCAAATAAACCAGGTTATGTTTCTCACTCTTCCTATTTTTCATTTAATTTATTTTACTTTTCAGAGATATTGAACATTTATCTGCATCTGTTCCTAATATTTTAATCAGAAGCCAGTGATACTGTTTAAAATGCTGTAAACATCTCTAACAAATTGGAAACAGAAAACAAAGTTTAAAAAAAAATCCCTGCCAGCTCTTTTACTTAAAGTTTACTGAAGAATAGGATTAAAATTAATATTATTTGAAATTACCAAACCTTCACAAGAAGCTTTTCTGTTCTCTGTGCAGTAGCAGGGAAACTACTGTTGTGTGTATGTGTAGATAGGCATTGGAATTGAATTTATCCCCTGGAATACAAATTATCTCAAGGTTTTGGTTAACTAGGCTTTAATTTTTCTTTATCTTTCCTGTTATAAAAAAAAAATCCTCAACCCAGAGGTAAATTTCAGACAGAACTTAGCTGAAATTTTCCATGAATTGGAATCATTGTGAACAAATGTAAATTGGGGCCTGTCGAGAGACTGTTTGCAGTTAATGCTGTGCTCTGTGGCAGGCTAATACAAATCTAGGTGATGATGTTGTCCTTCTAGCCCTTTGCTCAAACAGATTTACAGCCCAGTATAAACCCATGATTCCTTGCCATGGGCTCTCTTTCATCACAGTTATTCTTTAGCTCAGTTAGGAAATGCTTAAGGCTACCACTCTCTTTCATGCTGTCAGTTTTTACTTTCTCTTTTTGAAGAGATCTCTTCTGAACTCCACTCTCCCTGCATTTCTTGTAAAAAATTATCAGTATTATTGTTCATTTGCTTTTGAGATGCACAGTTAAGACAGTGTCTTCAGGTTTGTGACTGAGCTAAACCAGAATGATTTACCTCTTACTCCATTGCATATAAAACTGGGGGAAAAAAATAAGCTGTTTCTGTGGAGGTTTCATAGAAAACACACAAATCTCTACAACAAAAGTGAAGGAAAAGGTTTCCTGTGCATCCATTTTCTTTTCCTTTTAATTTTTTGCTGTTCTCAGCATCTGGCCAGTGTGTCCATGAGCACTAACCCAGTGGTGCATCTGTGTTCTGGTGGATGCAGCCAGTTGCAGTTCCTCTTACAGCTGAGCTTTGGGATATCTCCTGTGGGCAGCCCTGGTGGGTGCTTAGTCTGCCACTGCTCAATGCAGGCAGATAAAATAATAAATATTTGGGACTTTGCTAAAGCAGGGGGCTTTTCTACTCCAGAGAGCATTAAGCTTAGGCTGATAATGCCTCTTAAGAGCTTACAATGTCAGTGATGTGTCTGGACTTGAGCAGAGATTTTTGTAAAACTGACATTATGCACATATCCTCCACATCTCACCCTCATCTTAGTCCTGCTGGGGCAAGGACTGCACTGAAAGTCCTTTGAGGGCTTCTGTCAGAAAGTGCTGTGATGGGAACTGCTTTAACTTAGCAAATTTAACTTGGAGTCTGTGCATCAGGAAGCTCATTTTTTAAAATAAATAAAACCCAAGTGAATTCTTCATTTAGCACAAGTCTGGTTGCACAGCTCATCTTCAAGGCTGTTGAAAGTTTGGAGGGAAATATGGGAGTAACAACAGAAGGATGTGGATGGCTGGATAGATCATCAATGCTATCATTTCACTGCTTAACAAAAAAGCAACATGTCAGTATAATTCTACTAGAAAATTACAAATTCCTGCAGTGCCCTTTGAACCGCTAGTTAGTAGGTGTTGTAAAGCTTAGTTCTGTACATATTATACCCTGGTTAAATTCATAAATGTGCTGTTGTCTGGGTTTTTTAACAGCTACAGGAGCTTTGTTTCTGAAGATGCAGGCCCAAACACACTGATTGCCACAGTTAATGCTGTTGATCCTGATGGAGATGGTGTGACATATGATATTCTGTCTGGGAATGAGAGAGGGAACTTTGTTATTGACCCTAAGAAAGGTAATTGTGTGTTAGCTCTTTGCTGCTGTGGTCATAATGTTGGTTCTGTTGTGATGCACCTTGAATTTGGCCCTATTATCTGGATAAACTGAATGGCATATGCTATCTTTGAAGCTTAATTTTAAAAAGTGCAAGGGAAGAATGCCTATACTTTCTTATAAAGATAAAAAATTGTATAATTTCCTCAAATCTGTGTATAATTGACCTCTCTTACCTGTTCAGTCTTTGCTTTCAGTTAGTAACTTAATAGAGGGCATTATTATAGATAACAGGTCTCTTAAGAAACAGTAAATTAACAGAGAATGTTATTATTGATAACAGGATGACATTCCAAAATGTCAGGCAAGTATCTGAATAGAATTTAATATAAGAAACTGGACATCTGGGATTTTAAATGAGGCTTTTCTCACCCCATGCTTGTGTCAATGTCCTGATTATGCTGGTGAGAGCAAACATTTCTTGGCTGGACTTATCTGTGCTGTGTTGACACAAAATGAAGTGTTTGTAGGTGGAATGAGACTACCACTGTTTTATTTATATAAAATCTGAACTAACCAAGTATATTTTTCATTTAAGATTAATCATTCACATGACCAGTGTTGTTTAGCCAAGAACACTGCATGCATGAGAAAAAAAGATGTGTGGAGGATACTTTACAGCTTAAGGCATTTGTTCTGAAATGCCAATTTTTCCATCTTTTAAAGTTCTTTTCAATAGTCACATATTTTCAAAACAAGAGAAGAAAAAAGGTTCCCACCACATTGGTGTCCTCATTAGGAAAAAAAAAGTAAATAAGTTCACAAACACCAACATCTGAGTAGGTTGGCATATCCCTTTAAATTAATAGGATTTATTTGCTGTTGATTGCTTGAAAAAACAGAAGAGGATGTTTTGAGATTGAAACAGGCAAACAAATTGAAATCCCATTGAAGGATTGAAGTAACTTAATTAACTTCAGTTAAACTACTTTGTATTTTGAACTGCAATCAAAATCTGAACTTAGATTTTCCAAAGCAGGAGCATTGAATGCATAGGAAGGAGCAAGCTGCCCTTAGTTATTCCTTCCCTTTACTTCATAGAGTTCACTTAACATGAAATTTTAATTTCAATGCAATCATGGTTTTTGCAATATTAATGTTAGATTCTGAAACATTCCCAAAAATACAGTCTGCAGGTAACTTGCAAGCATTGAATCATGACCCTGAGTTTACTGTGAGCTCCTTCACTTCCTTTCTGACTTAAAAATAGAGTTGCAGGTTCCAAGAGTTAAATTTCTACAGATGCTTTGGCACCTGAAGAGGAACAAAGGTTTTGAGTGTGTTTAAAAGCTACAGCATTAATATACATGACACTTCTGAAGACCTTTTTTGTGAGAAACAGATTTTTTTGGTCAAAGCATTTCAACATTTGATTGATAGCATCTCTTGGGATTAGCTCCACAGTTTTAATATAGAAAATCATGTATACATGATTTTCTATATTAAAGTACAGTTATACTTTTTTGCCAATTAATTCTATAGTATTTGAAACTTAACTTTAGGAACATTAGCATTTTTACCAAAACACTTTTAGGCTGTTGTTGCTGAATAAACCAGTAAAGGTTTATAGAGTGGCTTACAGCAGTTTCTTTTCAGGAATGATGTCAGGGGAATAGTCTGTACCTTCTTGTAGAAATGTGGAGGTACAGTGGAGAAGTGTCAAAGATAAGTGCTGCAGCTAAAACAATACATTTTCAAGCAAATTTAGTGTCATTGATGCTGTGAAAATACTCTGCTGTGATGACAATTGTGATTATTCCTGATGAATAACAGATGTGATGCATGGTGGAGCAAAAGAATGGCAGCCCCTCTCTGCAGGATCTCAGGCACCTGTGGCCCCTTCTTCAATGCAGCACCTCTTTCTGGCAGTGCCTGTGTGTCCCACCCAGCAGGCTGTGTCCTGGGGGAATTCTGAGAGCACAGCAGAGATTTCTCAGCCTGTGCCTCTGGAGCTCAGTGCTGCTGTGTCTGAGCTGCAGGAAGGTAAACTTGAAGGAGTCTCAGCTGAGCTGTCCATGGCAGCTGCAGATTGATGAAAGCCATTATGTGCAGGGCAGCTGAGCTGTGGCTGCGGGCTCAGTGTGCTCTGTAGGCAAACCTGCAGACAAACCTGTTGTGATGTCTTTATTTTGCTTTAATGTGGGACTGCAGTAAAAACACTGTCGTTAAATTAAACAGCACAGCCTTTTGCTTTATTGGTGAATAGGAAAGCCAGAATGCTTTGTTGTCATGTTCATTAGTGAGGATAATGGGAATGGGTTAATGCAGCAAAACCCACAACCTGTTGTTTTTACAGGGCTGGTTAGACTTCGTGCAAGCCCATTTCCTGAGCTGCAGGGGACAGAATATGTGCTGAATGTCACAGCTACTGATGATAATGCCTCTGGAGGGCCCCATCCTCTCACAAGTACTGCCCAGGTTGTTGTGAAAATCGATGATGTCAACAACAACAAACCTGTCTTTCAGAAGGTAAATATATGAGCCTCTGGCATTTGTACTGGACTGTGTAAAATGTTTTAGCAGTGTTGGCACTGCAGGTGTGCAGCAGGTGAGCTGGTCAGGAGGTGCTCTGCTTCCCTCTGGGTCCTGTCTTCTCCTCCTTTTCCATCCCTCCCTAAGGCTTTCAGGGTCTGTTCTGCTCTTGTGGCAGCACAGCTCCTGTGAGCTCCTGTCTGTTCCCTGAGCATCCCTCATCCCTGGCATTTCAGAGGGTGAGGCCAAGTGAAACACTTCTGGAGATCCCATGTGAGCAGGAGTCCACAGGGATAGCTGCCTGTGCCATGGGCTTGTTCCAGAACACCTCTCTAAATTACACAAGTTTCCTTTGCTGATTGTGTGTCTGCAACTAAAGAGAGAAGAATGAGAGTTTTAGCTTAAACAGTGAAGTACTGTAAAAAATCAATGTTTCAATTTGGTTTCAGAATGTTAATTCATATTAAAGATCTGTTTTCTATATTCAGGTGTGGTACTGATGGCTCAGATGTTGATGAGCAATGTTGCATATTTTGAAAAGTCAGCAACTATTCATGTCAGTCTTAGAAATTCTCAGTAGCCTCTCCTTGACAAAATTACTTTGTGTAGAAATCCCTTTTTGAGCAAAACAGTTCTGTGGTTTGGGCAAGTGTGTGCCCTCTTTTTTATTAGACCTTTGCTAATATAAAAAAATATTTGCATTTGGAAGCAACTTTAACTTTTTCTCCAAATATTTGCATTAGCTGGAGATGCTCAGTGGTCTCATGTTTTGTGTTGTTTGTATAACTACAAAATACCAAGGGAAATTTAAATTAGTTGTGCTAAGATAAAGCTTTAACAGCTGTGCATGGCAGTGCAAGTGTAGCTAAATAATTATTTTTTCCTCTGCTAGTATACCTTTGAATCAAATGGCAAGGGAAGTCCTGGATTTTTCTCTTTTTAAAATTGTTCTTTCTTTCTTTTCCTCCCCTCTCTTAGTGCCAGTATTATCGGGAACATGCTTCTGTCCTGGAAAATCAGCCTTCAGGGACTGTTGTTCTGCAGGTTGAAGCCACTGATGCTGATGAAGGGGTCAATGGAATAGTGAAATATGGCTTGATGCACAGAGATGGTGTCCTACCAGCATTTAGCATCCACCCTGACACAGGTAAAGCAAATGTCAGTGCTGAAAATGGCACAGAGAAACCACCTTGTGACGCTGTTGGGGAAAAGGCTTAGATAAAATCAGGCTTCATGTTTTTCATTCAGTGTTTTGACTGCAGACCAAATGCAAACTGTATTAACTGCATGAACAAGCCTTCCATGAAATTAAGTTTCAAACATGTTCAGTACTGAACTAAAGCTGATGCTTTCCTTGAAATGTGGAAGTTCTGCTTTGTGAAGTAACTTGTGTGATTTTGTAACTAGATTTAAAAACCCAAACAAACCTATTTTAAGTGTACATTACCTTGCAACATTGCTAATGGCATATAAGTGATTTATCCAAATGACAGCAGTCCTACAAACAGCAAAGGAATTAAATCTTAGAAGGCCAAAACTAAGTTCAGGCTGAATTTCTGGAGGATAAAAGATATGAAACATTCCTTTACTGTACTTACTGCTCTTCAAAAAAAAAATTTTTTTGAGAAACTCATTCTCTTACTTTGTACTTACCTCCATTTTCTTAACTTAAATTACACTTCCATTCTAATTCAAATTCCTCTCATGTGTGGATGCAAATGTAACTAAAGTTTGAGTCTGTCTGAGCAGTAAAATGTCAGCTGTTACAATTGTTAAATCTCAGGATTGGATCCTTGAACCTGATATTATAGGTGTACTTAATCTACTGCATTGTTTCCCAATGTATTGACAGAAAAAAAAACATCTGCTTGAAGAATGTTGCCAGATGCACAGAATTTTAACTCTTTGATATTTAATTTGTTTTCAGGAGTTCTGACAACTGTTCAGGTATTTGATCGAGAAAAGCAGAGGGAATATCCCATCACTGTGACAGCAACAGATCAGGCAGCGGAGCCACTCATTGGGATATGTCAGATCAATATTGTCATCCTGGACCAAAATGACAATGACCCCAGATTTGAAAACACCCACTATGAATGTAATTGAGAGTCATTGGATAGAGTTTCAGTGCCCTGAGTGTGAGCGTACCCCATGTCTCCGATTTTTGGGTTTTTGCCTGTCCTGGCAGTAGAACATGTGACAAATTTGATGCATCCAGAGATGCACTTTGCTTATTTATTGCAGAGCTGTTACTCACTGTAATATGTGTTATGTAACATGTACAGCCTTGGCTCATAGGCCTGCATTATGGGAAAGTTCCTTGAAACAATAGCCATGTCATTCATACAGAGCAATTATTCTCTGGGTTAAAATACAGTTAAAAGAAGTATCTTATAAGAAATAAGAATTCCAGGTTATGAATGGGGTAATATGAAGTTTAGATATGATCTGTAGCTCTGGAGTGATAGCAGCTCTTTAAAACACTCAGTGTATGTGGCTATTGTTACAAGGAAGAGAAAATTATACTAGAGTAATAATGTATGGCATTTATTTCTTAATGAGTTACTAAAATGTCCATGGTAGTTTAGCAAATTGATGATCAATTTGAACTATCCTTCCCTTCCATCAGATTTCCTTAGAGAGGACACAAGAGTTGGGACCAGCTTCCTGCGTGTTGCAGCCCGTGATGATGACCACAGCTCAAATGCTGCCATCACATATTCCATAGCAAGTGATGAACCAAATTATTTACAGATTAATCCTACCACAGGCTGGGTGTTTGTGAACCAACCCATATCTCAGGTGTGGTGCTCACTTTCCTTTTTAAGCTGACTTTTTCAATATATCATAGGAGGGACTGAAGTCATGAGTTTGAGTTACCCCTCAGGTTAAAGGATCAATACATCTATTTAAATTAAACATGAGCCTAAGGCTTTTAGCTGCTCATTGCATATGAGCAAGGCTTGCTTTCAGCCAGGAAGCAGCAGCCCCAGCGCTGCCTCTGAGACTTGCTGTGCCCATTTCCCTGGCTCTGGCATGTGGATTCCAAGGGCTGGAGGGCTGAGGTCAGAAACAGAGGAGCAAGGACTCAGGTGTAGCGCTTTGTTGTGCTTACAGGCATTAAGTCTAGACACAAACCTGAATGGGAAGAAGTGTGAAATGTTGGTCCTGATACAGATTCCCAACTTGACGTATGTCAGTTGTGGTGCATTAAGCATAGCTGTCCCTCAGGAAGGTGAAAGCACAATTCATGTAGTTATCTAAAAGTGATCAGTTTCAGCTACTTCTAAATAATGACACAAGCAGTTTGATATTTTAAGGTTTTAAAATAATTTGTTTTGAAATTGAACTATTGTTGTAGATGTCATTCTTTAAATAGATACTTTTAATATTGAAATTGAACTTCCAAATAACTGACCCACAAAAGTTTGGTGAAGGTGTATCCTTTTAATATATTTTCTTTAATGAATCTAAGAACCCTACAGACCTAATAACAAGAACTGTTAATAGGTAAGCTGAAGAACTCAGGGTCTCCACAAAGTGGGTTTTTTGGTTCTGTTTGGTTTTAAATTTTGTGTGACATTTGATTAGGTTTATTGAGACATATAGCAAAATCTTCCAACCCTCTTAAGTAAATAGAATTTTTCATCAAATTTACACCTAGTTCATATTTTTACTTCATCTTCAGATCTTTTCCTTCTGTGAAGGTTATTTTTAAGTGTACCTTTAATTGTGTGTATTAATTTATTTTGGAGGCCTGCTCAAAACCTTCTGTAATGAAACCTTTTTTACTGTTCAGAAGTCATCTATAATTCGAGAGATTACTGCTACAGATGGAGGCAACAGGAGCAGTAAAGTTGAACTTGCTGTAACTGTAACCAGTGCAAAAAACCAACCTCCACAGTGGGAAAGAGACAGCTATGAAGTTGTTATTCCAGAGAACACGACACGGGATGCCTCAATTTTGGTAAGGTTGTTTGTCTGTCTGTAGCTCTCAGGCTGCAGAGTAATTGAACATTGTTTATTTGCCTAAATAGTGAGCTTTTATAGGAGTTTTGTGTTTTGTAGCTGAATATCTGGGAGAATGAAAGCACAAAAGCTTTTAGAAATGTTGCTGTACTTGCAGAAGGGTTGATTACCCACACTTTTTGAACTGTGCAGACAATCAAAGCAACTTCTCCCCTTGGAGATCCCCGTGTCACTTACAACCTGGAAGAGGGGCTTGTCCCAGAGACCAACATGCCAGTGCGTTTCTACCTGACTCCAAACAGACACGATGGCTCTGCTTCCATCCTGGTAGCTGAGCCCCTGGATTATGAAACAACAAAGAGCTTCCAGCTGCGGGTGCGAGCTCAGAACGTGGCTGCAGTTCCTCTGGCAGCATTCACCACGGTCCATGTCAATGTCACAGGTGTGTCAGCTGCTCAGTGGTGCCACAGTATAATCCTGCACTGTTTGCCTTTAAAGTTTTATAGTTTTCTCTCTGTGTGCTCTTTTTGATGTTCTAGATGTCAATGACAATGTCCCATTCTTCACTTCATCCATTTATGAAGCCTCAGTAACAGAGGGAGCTGAGGTGGGGACGTTTGTCACTCAGGTGTCTGCCACTGACCTCGACCTTGGTCAGCATGGGGAGGTAAGAAAGTGGGCACCTTCCTCTCCCCTGATGGAAGCTGTGCAATGGCTTCTGCAGGAGCAATGGCTAAATACTCTAGAAATCTTCAGCCTAGAAAAGGGATGACTAATAGGGAAATGTAGAATGAAATAAAGTAGATAATTATATGCTTCTCTGTGTTGCCAGGTGAAAAATGCAACTAAAACTAGTAGGTGTGAGGCAGAAAACAAAGAGGAAATATTTACACAGCCTGTAGCTTAGTTGAAATGCTTGCTGTAGAATTCCTTTGTGTGGAAAATTCTGCATAGACCTACAATGAGATTGGATAAATGGATGGAAGAAAAGCTGTGTTAAAAGCTTCTGTGAGTTGGAAATAATTGGCAATACTGCAAACTGAGTCCTTACAAAATATGGCAAGTTAACACCCAAAGAGGATGTATTCCTCGGTGATTAAACAAATTGAAAATAGATACATCCTTAGAACAAGAGTGCAAACTGAAGTCAAGTCACAAAACCATGCAGATAATAGAGGGTAGAACGTGGTCTGTGGTCCTGAGCAGGTTCAAATGCAGCTCACCTGTGGATGTTGTAGAAATACTTGGGAACTTCAGCTGAACTTTAGTCCTGCAGCACAAGTGAAATCATGCTAGTGAAATCAGGAGCTGATTAGACAAATTATTTTCCTTACAGATCAGCAGTCAAGGAAGTTAATTGGCTTTAGACCAGATTGCTGAAGCTGCAGTTTTACCCAGCTTCCTTGGCCTGATCAAGTACTTGGACATGGGACAGTTCTTCCTCTCTTTAAGTGCTATTCTAGTTGTTACCTATTCATCAACAGGAAAGTATCTATTAACAACTTCTTTTCAATCCTGTAGATAACTTACTCCCTGTTACATGACAGTGGCAGAGACTACACCTGTTTTCGCTTGGACCCCCAGACAGGCTCCATTTACACCACCTCAGTGTTTGACAGAGAGGAGAAGGGCTCCTACCTCCTGGAAGTCAAGTCAGTGGATGGCTCTGAGTCAGCTCGACCTGGAAAGCATGGGAAGCCAAACTCTGGTAAGGGACAGATGGCTGTCCTAAGTGTGATATTACTTGGATTGTGTCTGAAAACAGAAGCTCTGGAATACAAGATTAAATGGTAATTTCCTTTTTTTTTCATGTCTTGTGGAAGAGTGCCTGTTCTGATTTCGTGGTGGCTTTTTTACTGTTTAGCTGTGCAACAGTTGTGTCAGAGCTGAAAGATAAGCTTTGCATGATGCTCAAGCAAACTTTTTGTTCTGGAATTAAAAAAAAAAAACAAAAAAACATATAGACCTTCATATTTAGAGTTTAGAGAGTGTTTTCTAGCTGGCAAAGATGTGCCATTATCTGTAGGATGCAAATCTTTGGGCAGGGCAAGTGTTTCTCAAAGCACTGCATATGTGTATGGTATTCAGTTAAAAGTAATTATGGAGCAGGAATATGCAAGATAGAAAATCATTTTTTCAACTGATCGCCCTGCTTAAATAAAAAGTTAAAATTTTGTGGCTTCAGAACAAAAAAATTATGACTAAACACTGTACAACTATCCTATTAGGCATCAATGACTCAATTATTCATGTAGTATGTGTTTGAACAATTTGGATGTGACATTTATTTGATACCCAAGTGCTTTTGAGTATTGTTGGTATACAAGCAGCCCACAACCCTAAGGGTTTGTTCCTGTGTTTCCTGCACATTTGTCCTACTGAAGGTGCAGGCAGACAGGTGAAGGGATTGCAGGTGACAGCAGTGGCACAGCTGGGGTTGTGTGTGGCTCTTGTCCCTGCAGACACGGCGTACGTGCGCGTGTCCGTCAGCGACGTCAACGACAACCAGCCCGTGTTCGCGCAGAGCGTCTACGAGCTGAGCGTGGACGAGGACCAGGATGTGGGCTCCACCATCCTCACAGTCACTGCCAACGATGAGGATGAAGGTAAAGCACTGCAATCCCCCCCCAGCTCTCTCCAAAATATGGATCAGTTTCAATAATCTCCGCACTCCAAGGCGTAGTTGGTGGTGTGAGAAAAGGGAATGTCCTTCTGTCCCCAGATTTTAAAACTTCTTTAAGCGTGCACTGCTCAGGCATGAACATTAGTTCATAACTGTGAGCTCTGAGATACAATCTCTTATTTCAGGAGACATGCACTAATGTGAGATGATAGGAGATAATTTCTGTGCCCACAGATACAAATTTTTTATAGATCAGATAATTTTCTTACAAATAAGTGCCAATAAAAATGTCCTGGTTAGCTATAATAAGTCAGGCTTCATTTCAGTGAGATTCATTTGCTTCCTCTATGATGGACAGTATAGTTTGTGTTTGCTTTGTTTGTTTGTTTTATTTTAATCTAGACTTCCTAAATGCATATGATGAATTTTAGCTACACTATTTTATCCACAAATCAGCCAGAAATTCAGCCACTAATCATGTAAAAGTACATAACCAGTGCTTATAAAAGGGAAAGGGATCAGTAAATGCTTCCATCTTTTGACCTTGTAGCACTGCTAATTCAGCTTCCCTATATGGTGAAACACTGCTTTTTTTTTTGCTGTTGCACAAGTCCCAAGGACTGTTCTCTGTGTGTCTGTAAAATGCAAGGAAATCCTGACCGCGCTGGATTCCTCCCACTCTGTAGGAGGCTGAGGCAAATGTGGTGAAGATGTGCTGCAGAAGGATTTGCTACTCAAGGAACTTTTAGTTTGGGACTTAGGCTGCCTGTGAATCTGCCCTGTAGTGTTGGACAGGGGACCTGATGTGACGGATATATGGCACTTCATCTCTGCCCTCTAAATAAAGTTAAAACAGAATTATTACTTTATTGCATAGACACATTTTGTAGAGACAAACTCCAGTTAGACACACCAGAACTGAAAATGCTGCTTAGTAATCTGACATCTGCATGTTTTAAAAGACCACAAAAATGATAAAATAAAAATAATACCACTAATCAGTTATTGTGTGATTTGTACTTCATCTCACCATCAGCCTACTTCAAGAAATGTGTGTTTTCTGACACTGTTGGTAATTGACAGGAACAAATGCTAAACTACGGTATCAGATCACAGCTGGAAACACAGGAGGGGTGCTGGATGTAGATCCAGAAACAGGAGCCATTGTCATTGCCCAGCCACTGGACTATGAAGAAACAAAAATGTATGAGATCCACTTGTTGGCCTCTGATGGGAAATGGGAGGATTATGCAGTTATCATCATCAACATCATGAATAAGAATGATGAGGCTCCAGTTTTTTCTATCAATGAATACTATGGAAGTATAATTGAGGAACTGGATTCGCTGCCAGTCTTTGTACTTCAGGTAGTGTATGCAGTTCCACAGATTATAATATTTCAATGAGAAAGCACAGATTACTGTGGTACAATTATGTTAAAAATAACTCAGCACATAGATATTAATGAAGTTTATTTTGACTTAAGTTTTTTTATCACTGAAGAGAAGAAATGGACTTTTGTGGGAGAAAAAAAAATGGGGATTATAAGTGGGATAAACAGGATAGATCATTTGTTAATCCTGAAAAGCAAATAATGGACAACTTAAAGTAGCTATCAGAATGTAATATTTAAATTACCTGTATGAATATGAAGAATATAATATTATTTTAGTATTTAAATTGTTAACATTGTTAAAAATGCATATTTATCTGCCCTGAATTGTCCCTGGATTTGCTATTTCCTGGCATGCACATGTTATTACCAAGTCATACACTTTTGCTTGAACTCCTTTAGACTGGAGCAGCATATAGGATGTGATGCAGTCACTGCATATTTCACACTTCCTGTGTTTGGTTTTTTTGTTTTTCAAAACTATTGCAGGTTATGGCCAGTGATCCTGATAGTGGTGTTGATGGAGGAGATTTGAGATATTCCTTGCACGGGTATGGTGCAGGTGACATTTTCACAATAGATGAGAAAACAGGCAGCATTTACTCCCACAAGAGGCTGGACCGGGAAGAGAGAGCCCTGTGGAGGTTCATTGTGCTGGCCACTGATGAAGGTGGAGGAGGACTCACAGGCTTTGCTGATGTGATCATCAACGTGTGGGATATAAATGACAATGCACCCACGTTCACATGCATGCCTGATGACTGCAATGGGAATGTCTTTGAAAACTCTCCTGCAGACACCTTGGTCATGGAGATGGCTGCAGTGGATCGTGATGACCCGAACGTTGGTGTGAACGCTGTCCTGACCTACAGGATAACAGAGAATGTGAAGAACGAGTTTGGTACTGACATGTTTAACATCAATCCCAGTACTGGCACCATCCACGTGGCAGGGGGGCTGCTAGACAGGGAGAGGACTGAAAGTTACTTCCTTACTGTTGAAGCAAGAGATGGCGGAGGGCTAACAGGAACTGGCACTGCCACTGTCTGGGTTGCAGATGTCAATGATAATGTTCCCAAATTCACAAAGAAGCTGTGGCAGGCAGCAATTCCTGAGAACAGTGCCATCGACTCAGAAGTCCTGCAGGTGTGTGCTACAGATGCAGACATTGGGGAAAATGCAGACTTAATGTTCAGTATCATTGGGGGAGACCCAGATGAGAAGTTCTACATTGAGAATGACAAAGAATGGCAATGTGGCACTGTTCGACTGAAAAAGAAGTTAGATTTTGAGAATGCCCGTGAAAGACAGTTTAATCTTACTGTTACTGTGGAAGACCTGGATTTTTCCAGTGTTGCAGTGTGCCTGATTGAAGTTGAAGACTCAAATGACCACAGCCCAGCTTTCCCTTCTCAGTTTATTCAGACAAACCCTGTGTTTGAAGATGTGCCTGTAGGTACTACAGTAACCACAGTGAGGGCTACAGACAAGGACTCTGATTTGAATGGGAAGATTATCTATTCTATAAAGTCAGACTCAGACCCTTTGAGACAGTTTGTGGTTAACCAGTTTGGTCACGTGGTTGTGGCAAGCACACTTGATCGTGAGGCCGTTCAGAAATACGCTTTGATTGTCCAAGCTGCAGACCAGGGGACGCCTGCCCGCACTGGAAGTGTCACAGTGTTAATTAACTTGCTTGATATTAATGACAATGGACCAAGGTTTGAAGCACCATACATGCCTGTAGTTTGGGAAAATACAATGAAGCCTGAGGTAGTGCATATGAACCATACCTCAAAGCTGCTTCATGCATTTGATCCAGATGCTGAGGAAAATGGGCCCCCCTTTACCTTTTCATTGCCACCAGAATATAAGAATTCCTTGGACTTTTCTCTTACTGACAACAGAAATAACACAGCAACTATAACAGCTTTGAGGTCCTTTGACAGAGAAAAGCAGAAGGTGTTTCACCTGCCAATAATTATAACAGATAGTGGGATTCCAGCCATGAGCTCCACAACCACCCTGACGATAACAATTGGTGATGAGAACGACAACTGCCATGAGTCTGGCCACAAGGAGGTCTATGTGTACAGCTACAAAGGTAAGTGCTAGCTGGATGTGAGATCAGATTCATGAAATAGTGGAGTTTTACACTTAATTTCTTTCTTGTAGTCTGTTAATTTGTTTCTTTAATGGTTTGCATACTTCAAAACTGCAGCTGCTGTTCTGTAAACTACTAAGTAAGGTGGAGTAAATGAACTATATTTCACTTAGTCCACTTGTTAAACTTAGACCTTAGTGTGTAGAAGATTGTCTACCTAAGAACTGTTAGCTGCAAACAGGTATATATTGAACTTGCAGTAAAAGCAGTGTTTTTATAAATCCATAAGATCTATTTTCCATTAGTGAGTGTTCACCTCCAGAAGGTATTTTGCAGTTACATTTTCTGAGTTTAGTATGCCTAAATTACAAAAAAGATGTGACCAGATCATACTGTAGAAATGAGAGAATGAAGCATCCAGGTTGGCTTGGCTCCAGATTTGAACCTTAAAAATCTCCCATGTTGCTGAACATGGATTATGGATTTCAAAAGTCTCTTTCCCTGGATTTGCTCCTCTAGCTGTTTTAGAAAAAATAGTTGTAAATTCCACTTCACTTCTGTGCCAGCCTCCAAGGGCCTGGAAAAATCACCAAGACCTGGCCCAGCTTGGTGTCTTCCTGCCCTTTTCCTTTTCCCAATCATGTCCTTCTCTCCCAGCTGTACCCTATCAGATGCTCTCCCTCTTTTGCTGGGTTCCACTTGTGTGCTCTTCAAAATAACAGAGTAGCCATGAAACATTTGGAGTTAACTCCTGATGTGGTGATTTTTAATTTTTCTTTTGCCTGAGAGTTTTTTAGAGAGTTGTATTTATGTATTCTAGTGCTGTTTTGTGCTGTTTGCAGCTTTTCTTCTTTCATGTGGCATCTCCAGTGTGCTCACATTTCCAGAACTGGCAGAAATCATATGACAGGCTATGCATTGTTTTAAGAATCTTGGATCATAACCATCACTAAATCGAGCAGGAGTCTGAAAATAATAAATGCAGTAATGAATGTCACAGAATATAAAGTGCACTGAAAAGCAAAAATTAAATGCAGATTTATTATAATTTATCTCAACAGGAAAATGGTCAACAACAGTGCTTGGGGAAGTGTTTGCACCAGATCAGGATGACTGGGACAATAAAACATTTCTCTCTGAAGGAAAACTGCTCAAGTGAGGATTGTATTTCTGTCAAAATGAGTAATATTTATGCTTCTGTAATTATTTTCTCACCATGTATTTCTCTGTGTTCAGGATGTGCATAAAGCCAGGGTTATTGAATGTATTAAGGGATGTACCTTTTGAATATTCTTTTTCTTTTTCACTTGAGTTCCTAGGTATTGAGAAATTTTTGCATTAAATATTTTTTCCAAGACAATGCAGGATCACACCATGATGTTGATTTTTAGTCAGATGTCATAGTTAATTTACTTTAAAATGCACATTCTGTAAGCTCCAATTTAAAAATAGACAGAGTCCTAATGCTTGCTTTCAGATGTTAGGGTTGTTGGAATACAAATCCTGAATTTAAAAGCAAAGAATGGAGTAATTTCATCAAAAGTGGAAGGGAATTTGGTGCTCTCCTTTGATGGCTAAATTTACAATTGCATGTGAAAACCATGACTCAGATTAGTGGAGGGTTTTGTTCTGTTAATTGAAATGTTGAATTGGACCCTTAATTCCTACTTAGATATTATTTGTTCATATCATAAAGTGAGATGGTTTATGGTATAACTGTATGCTGTCTGAAAGGGAAAAAAATGGATGTGAAAGTGAATTTTAGTCTGTGCTATGACTAAAAGTGTAAAGCTTTATGCGGCCCAGAATTAAAGACTTTCTGTCCATCAGCAGCCCCTGGGCCTGTGTCCATGCTAAGAGGTCACTGTTCCATGACAGTGGAATGACCAATAATGGTCATGGAATATTTCCATAACTGCTGGTTGCTGGTCCTTTGAGATGTCCAATGAAGATGCTCTGAGAGACTTTCTACAGACTTACCCTGTTCCAGATAGAGCTGTGAGAGCATGGAATGATCAGAGTGGGTTTGTTTTTACCCCTTTTACTGACCTCAGAGGCTTGCCCATGATGACTGTGCTGAACCACCTGGTTCAACTACACATTGCTTTTGTTCAAATCTGGGAGAGGCTGAGTGGCAGGAACATCTCTTTATAAGATCTGCAGATTGTCATTTCTCAGTTAAGGTGGCTGAGCTGCCTTTCTGAGGTTGTTGGCTAATTCCCATAAGTTTTGGCCCTACACCCTTCACAATAACCTTTAAGCCCTTCTGAATTATGTTAATGAATAAAATGAGTCCTCGACTTTGATTTGTTAAGATTTTCTAATTGAAGGTTTCTGTCTAGATTTTTCAGATTAAATCAGAGGACTGGGTCTTTGCTGATGGTGGATAACACTCCTCAGGGAATATACAACTTAAAAGTTAGAGTTTCTGATGGAATTTGCCCTGATGTTATATCTACAGTACAAATCCATGTCAGAGACCTGGAAAATGAAGCCATACAAAACTCAGCCACTGTGCGTTTCTCAGGTTGGTTTTGTTTTCTGGTGAGGGTTTAGATCAGCTGCTTCTCTAACTCAATGTTTACAGGGTGTAGGTATTATTACATCAATATTTGATTTGCTTATCACTGTAGGCTACTTTCTGGTATGTTTCCATATTGTTAAATAAGAAATAAATTGAGAAATTAACCCATAAGCTCCCAGGTGTTCAGGTTTGTCTATTTTTGAATCCCCTGACCAGGTATCACAGCAGAGGAGTTCATAAGGAGAGATGAACATGGCAAAACGAGACATGGAGAGTTCAAGGAGTTCCTTGCAAAGCTGTTGCCTGCCAAGCTGAGTGATGTGATTGTGTTCAGTGTGATGGGCAGGGATGGACCACAGACAGATGTGAGGTTTGCAGTCCGTGCTGGCTCAGCCTATCACACACCTGAGAAGCTGCATGCGGAGATGGCAGCGTTCAAAACTGAGGTTGGTTCTCACCTGTGCAACTCGGCCAAACACTGAGATTGCAGGGTGTACATCCCAAACCTCGGTGGAAAACTACACTGCATCTACAGATAAGGGTTTTATTGCTTCACTCAGGACACAAACAAGTGTTTAATTCAGGATTTCTCCCTTTTTAGTGCCATGCATACTGGTATGGTGTGGTTGTACTAACTTCTGGTTCAATGAATAGTCACTGGAGAGCTGCAGAATAATGGGGCTGCAGTGCTGCCATGGGGCAGATAGTGTGTTTTCTCCAGTCAGTGTTTCATTGTGTCATCCCCAAATCCCCACATCAGCTTGTGTTTGGACACTTAGAGTGGAGGCTTGATGTCACCCTAACAGAAATTCTGCAGTACAAAGAGGTGACACTTCAGAGGAAAAGTCCTGCTGGAAGGAATGTGTGGCTTAGGGAACAGTTGCAACAGGTAAGTGAGATGGAGACAACCAATCCTGTTGTTGCATTTATCTCACCAAAGGACAGCTTCAAATACAAAGTGACACTGTCCCCCAACTTCTTTTACTGTTTTCAAGGAAAATATTTTTGTATGGAAGATGTTTTCCTCCCCTTCTTGGTGTTCCCCAGCTGTCCTGCTTTCTAACTCAGTTACAGACACAGTCTGTCTTGGCCATGGCTGTATTTTTCTGTAGCCCTGCACAAAGGCAAAGTGACTCTGCTCAGCTTTTCACTTGCCCTGGCCATATTTGGGTTTTATACATGGTACATCATATGGATGATTTTTCCAAAGAGAAAACACCACTTTCCACCTGTGTGAGTATGGTGGAGTCTGCCTGAGTCTGGGAACCAAACAGGGCTGTCTTAACTTACTACCTGCCTCCTCCTTGGTGTATCTTGAATGGCTCTGTGGGTTATGAGAGCCTTCAGAGTGACCAAATAGGGAATGCCAGAGACAGAGAATATTCATGAAGGGTAATGACTGCTTCTTTTGCATATTTATTGAATTACTGCTACAATAAGATAGAAAATACTATAGATTTCAAATATTATCTGCCATAATACATGACACCTGAATTCATCAAAGTGGTAACAAGGGGATTGCTTCACGTATTTTAATGAAAAAATATGTTTTTGTTAATTATATACCACCTTTCAATATTTAATGAATAGTTCTAGTGAGTAATCACTAATAGTTTACAGAAAACCAATCATAGCTGGAGAATTCCTCCAGTAGTTTTTCTATGTGTATAACTATAAATACAGAAAATAAGTAATTAGCACTGGAATTATTCATTGAATTTCTACATAAATAATATGTTTGCATTACCTCCTGGGGATATAGTTTTACAACAGCAATTTTTATTTAGCAAAAAAATAATCCATCCTAATACTTTAAAGGAGCCAAGGTTGTTTTTATACAGTTTTTCAATAACAGTATTACATAGATGTCTAAATGTGCATTACAGACTCTCCAGTGACGGTGATAAACGTGGGCAGCAGACACAGACCTGCATTGACAGGATGCATCATGTAATTACAAAGTATACTCTGTGCCTTTGGGGCAGGGCATCAATACTTGTTATGATATTTGAGAATATAGAGACAAAGCATTATAAAGATCAAAGTTCTTACACTGGTGAACTGAGATGTCTACACAAATGAGAAAAAAATAGAAGCACTTGAGTATTTATGTATTTGTTTTGATCTTTCCAAAGCTTATTTTTAAGATATTTGTCATATGTTTTACCATTTGGGAAAAAAACCTCCACATTCAAGCTCCAGTGTTGTTAGTTTTACATTTTTATACCTTGCTCATTTGTGTACCACTGTGAGAGTAGTGAGGTCTTTTACCTCACTAACCCAAACTCAGGTTTTGGGTACACATTTCAGTGTATTTGAATCATCAAATACAGATGAAATTCTGAAGCTTTATAACAGACACCTATGCAAAATTCCCAAATAAGTGGAAGGAACAAACTGTGATAATTTAGGGGTGCAGGCTGAAGGACAAAAAGCCAGGACTGATGACAGCTCTGTTCTGGCCTCTTACTGTGAGCTCCCTTCCCTCCCTCTCTGCCAGTGCTTCCTTGCTCCATTTGGAGTGGAAGTTGTGCTCTCAGAGTCACTATTCCTGCATTACCAGTCCTGTGGTTACACTGAGGCTCTTTATATTTGGTACTTGGCCTTTCAGGTGCAAGCCAAATTAACAATAAAAACAGTGAACCAACAAAGATGAATGTAGCATAGAGTACAGTATCCAGTATGCTGAACTGTGTTTTGTTGCAGACAGCTTGACATGAAATGTAAATTTATGGGACACAAATCATTAGACTAAATCCAAGTTGCTACAAAGTTGTCTTGTCAGGTCACTGTCTGTGGACATGATTATTGAAAGCAGCTCAGCTGTTTGTTTATTCTTTTGAGTGAGAGAATGTAAGGAATGATATCTGAGAGTTGCTGCTGAGGAAGGTTTTATCCTGGCTTGAGCTGAAACACTCCTGTTGCTGCTGTTGAAGTGCAGAGAGGTGTGATGCAGATGCTGCAGCTCAGAAGGTGGAGTTTCACTGCTCTCAGAGCTTTGGAAATAATGTTATTAGACCAGTACAGATGGTCTAATAATGTCTAATAATGGTCTTGGAAATAATGTTGTTAGACCAGTACATGTTCACACTGTCACGTCAGTGATCAAGTTTTTAGGAAATGCCACTGCTGTAATTTTTTAATGAAATGTTTCCTGAATTTTTCAAATTATTTTTCTTGCCTACATAATCAGGGATGTTACTAAGTAATGCTCAAGAAACAAAACCCTGCATTAAGTCTCTGGTGGCTCCGATTTTTCAGAATTGAGGCAAAAGCCTTCATTAGGATAACAGTGGTGCTGTCTTTTCTCTCAGATGCAGTCAGCTCTGAAACTGAACATTTCCCAGATCGACGTTGACGAGTGCAGGAGTGCCAACTGCAGTGAGGGCTGTACAAACCACCTGAGTGTGAGTGACATCCCCACAGTGCTGGACACGGGGAGCGTGTCCTTTGTGTCCCTGAGCACCTCCAGCCACGGGCTGTGCTCCTGCTCCGCCCGCGAGCGCCTGCACCAGCCCTGCTCCTCCTACCCCCGCAGCCCCTGCCTCAACGGGGGCCTTTGTGTCGACACTCTGAACGGCTACAGGTGAGCCAGCCTGCTCTGCACATCATTTCTGCCCTCTGGTTTTAAGGTGCTGAGTGGTACCTGCCTCAAATAACCATAAATGTGCATCTGACTGGAGAAGAAACAGAAAAACCCCACCCGTGCATTGGGGTGTGAACCTGACAGCAACAGGGGCTTCCTGATGGCCCCGATGGGGCTGTGGTCCCAAAAAGTGCATGAGGAACAAAGAAAACCCTGGGGAACACAGAATTAACACTTGTCATTTGTTAAGAGCACCTAATTCAGGATGAAGGCATGTGCACCCTGTTTTTTTTCTCTTTTCCAGCAGAGTAATAATAAAAGTGAGTATCAATGGTAGCAGCAGGGATGTAGGAGTGAAATATAGTTCAAACAATGGGTAATAAGGAGCCTAAAAAGCATTAGATTGTAAACTTGCTTTATTATAGCATCACCTGGCATGCAGCAGTATTCCCTTAGTGAAATTAATTCCAGCTAGGAATTAACCTCCCCAAGGTTACTCTGTAATAAATTGATGTTTGGTGTTCTGTGTTACTTAGGAAAAAAAGTTTGTTGTTCTCAAAAACTTGGCCTCAAAAATACTTTTTGTTTGAGGGAGTTAGTATAAGGAACAAAAATACTTTGTACTCTTAGAGCATTTTAAGAATTGCCAAACAAACCTAAGATTCCGCTAAAATCTTTGTTTTGCTGATTTTTTAACTGTGATTGAAGTTCTGCATTTGCTGAACCAAAAAAAAAAGCTGAACATGGAGGAATTTTGACTATTTCTTTTGTTTTTGGTCTTTCAGATGTCTTTGTCCTGCTTCCTTTCATGGACCAGACTGCCAGCAGACGAAGCACAGTTTCCATGGAAATGGTTATGCATGGTTTCGTCCCATCAGACCTTGTTTTGAAAGCTCACTCTCTCTAGAGTTTATTACTGTGGTTCCAGATGGACTTTTACTATATAGTGGCCCTTTATCAAATCCAGAACCTGGGAGCACAGAAAACTTCATTGCAATAGGTACTTCTGCAAAAGGATGTGGGAAAATTAAATGTCTTTTGGGAATGGATTGTTTGTGACCACTGTAACAATTAGACTATGGATTCTGTCTTTCCACTTAATGAGGTAATTTATTTTGTGGTGTAAAAATATTTTGAAGCATTTCCTAACAAGTCTTTCTCCTTTGATGTCTATTTTTGTAGCCTGCACCTCTGGCTTTGGGCTCATCACAGAATTGTAGAAATGAAGGGGAAAGCAAAACAGATGGATATATATAAAAAAAGAACCTGCCTAGAAAAACTGTAGTGCTGTAAAGGAATTTAGGTGCTTTGAAGATAGGTATTACACGAGTAGTGCAGTCTTAGTTGGATGTCATTCTTAGCTAGTTTGGTGAGAAAAAAATCCACTTAAACTCCCTTTGGTCTTGGGGCAATTTTGCAGATTTTTTTAAACTGGCAATGATGTGATGGGTGAATCCAGCCCCACCTGCCATTGTGGGAAGATTCATCTACAAGTAGAAGTCAATGCTTTATGTTGACACATATTTAAAAGGTTACTGCTGCTTATTTTTTGTGAATTAACACACAAGATGAACAGTATGGCTGGCATTTTATATTCTCCTGATTAATTGAAAGGTCATGTGGTTGAATAGTTAATAATTTACCCCCCTTTTTTTTTGCCTTGCTTTGCAGTTACTTGTAAATTTGAGTAGAAGATGGAAAAGAAGAAACCTGCATATATTAATTGTTTTAGAGCATCATAAAATTGCAGATTGCTTCTCAGGAATTAGTTTCAGTGTTTTGACAGAGAAGTGGAATAATCTGAAGTGTATAAGTAAACAATATTCTGAATGAGTACTTCTGCTTAATAGAAGACATAGGGTATAATTCTAGTTATTTCTGTAGTGACCCCCCTGTATGTGACTAGCAATAACCAGTAAATCAGTACAGTCACTAACTGCTGAGATACCAAAAGTGACATTTTGTAGCTGAATTTAATTTCTTGTTCATATTGTATTAGAACTCTCTAGTGGTGTTCCTGTGCTGAAGATGAGCCATGGCTCAGGTTCTGTGGTGCTGCAGTTTCCAAGTCATCTGAATGTAGCAGACAAGAAGTGGCATCGACTGGAAGTCAGAACTAATGGTCAGGTCAGTTATTGGATTTTTTTTTTCATATCAGGATATTAATATTTCTAAAAATATTTCCCTGTGCAGATACAGGAGGGTAGAAAGAACAGACTTTCAATAAAGAACAGACAATAGCTATTGTCCTAACTGCTTGTGTAGGTTTGATGAGTAATAGAAATTTTGGGACAGCCTCATTGTGAATTCATATCCACTGATGTTGTAATCCATATTCTGTTATCTTTACCTTTTCTAAGCTCTGCTGCAGCACATGTAGAATGTGGCCACTGAAATCCATTACTTAGGAACAAAAAGCAGATATTTATTTACTTGCAAATGCAGTTAGAGGTCTTGTGCAAGTGGTTGAAATACTCAGAAGCACAAATAAAGTTGAGAAGTTCCTACTTTGCTAAATGGTTCCATTTTGGCTTTACTGGTTATTGCAAGATGAACAGAACAGGGAACCCCCCAGCCCTTTCTGGATGACAGTGTGCAGGAAGCTGAGGCTGGGTGCAGCAGGGCCAGCTCAGTGTGTGTTGTGCAGGCTGTCAGGTTCACTCTGGATCGCTGCAGCGCCACCGTGCTCTCCGAGATCGAAGGCGTTGGCCGCTGGCTCTCCACCGAGGATCGCACGGACTGTGAAGTCCTGGGTTCTGTTCCACGGACAGCAAGGTACATTCCTGCAGCTTCCCTGGCAGGCACTTGGTTCTAAGGCCTGTGAACGTTTGACCTGTTAGACTGAAGGCGAGTTATTGATGGCTAGGAGCATAAAAAGCATTTCCCCTTTTCTCAGGTCTTCTAGCCCAAGCCTGGACCTCAAAGAACTAAATAAATTTTAAGGAACCAGTCTTCCACTGAGTAGTGTTGCAGTACTAACTGATAGCCCCAAAACTCTGTGGCTGTTACTGGAGCTTTTGTGGGTCCTGTGTACCACCCTCCACCCACAGGATTTCTCTTGTTTATCAACTCACTGTGAGCCTGCTCTTCAAAACCTCACAAATTTAGGCCAGTTGACATCAGAGTCCTGGGTACAGTTGGTGCCTCACACTGCAGGGTGGACAAGGAGCAGGGGGGTACAGTCCAGAGAAGAGCAATGACTGATCAGCTCACCCTAAGAGTAAGAATCAAGAATGAAGGAATTGAGGTCAGTTAACAGAAAGAAGGGAGAACTAAGGAGAGATATGATAAGTCTCAGTGTGTACAAAAGAATGGTACAAAGAGGATTTAGACAATCTCTTCTGTGCAGGGCCTAAAGTTACAGTGAGGAATATTCAGGTTATATTTTAGGGAAACCTTTGTACTAACAAAGACACTTTAGCTGTGGAATAGATAGTCCAAGCAAGCTTTCTGATGAGCATTGGGATTAAGCCTTGTCCACAGCTGCATGGAGCTCTCCTGGTCATGAAAGGAGCACAAAAAAAGGGAAAAGTATAAGGATAAATGGAAACAAAAGAAATGACTTGATAACTCTGGGAAAAAGAAAGTATGAGGACTAAAATGCATGGAGTTCTTTGGCTTGGAGAGATGATTATGAGACAGTGCAGAGCTTGGACATGTTTACCATGCCTTTTACACCACATGGACCCAACTTTTAGATTTCTGAGTTTTGTCATACACAGAACAGCCTTTGTTGTAGTATTCCTACAGCATAGGATGCCTGTGTACACACAGAGCACTTGAAGGAGAATATGGTGTCTAGAATATCACAGCTGTTTCTGACCTGAATGCAAACATACCCAAAATGTAATAGTGCCCCACAGTTAAACTTACAGCAGGTTTCACTGTCATGTTTAAAAAAATACACTTTATTTTAAAAGGCTTTATTTCAGAAGGAGAAGATAAAGTAATTGCATTCTAGTTATGTTTAAAAGTCTTTGTTATTTGGAAAAGCCATGTATTTATTTATTTATTTATTTATTTGTCTGCCTATGTTTGAAGGTAGATGCCCATCTATTTTCATTATTGATATGATTTTTAAAGGTATTTGAATGTGAACCATGTTCTGCAGCTGGGTGGTGTGAAGGAGTCCATACCCTACTCCTACCCACAACTGCTACACAAACATTTTTCTGGTTGCTTGCGCAATTTCATCTTGGATACTCAGGTAAGAGCAGAGTAATGTTTGCTTTAGCAGAGAAGAAAACTTCTTTATTCAACTTTTGGGAGATTGATATTGTACATGAAACTTCTGCTTCCACCAATGTATTAAATGCCCACATGCATCAGTGTAAAATACAAGAAAATTCTGGGTTTTCCTGTGATAATTAGAATAAGTACCTTGAAAAGTTATTTCTCAATAGAAGGAGATGTATTAGTGAGCAGGAACTGTGTGTTTGTTTATCCCCTGTTTCATGCAGCTGTTTTCCAAGCTTCTTTGTGCATTCAGGGAACTTCTGAATGGCAATTGTATAATGGTATATTTATGCCAGCTGTCTGCTTTGTTAGGAAGTATTAGGGATTTTTTGTTTTCATAGTCAGTTGAGTTTATTCAAAGGCAAAAGATGGTCCTGATAAAATCAGCTGAAGTCTGAATGTCAAAAAGCAAACTTAGCAACTTAAGCAATGCAGATGAGTAGCACACAGTGAAGTGGTGCAGCTATTTCTGTTTAAAAATGAAACATGTTTCTCAAATACTATTTTTGTGTCATGAATTGTCTTTTGAAGGTATACGACCTTCAGTCTCCTGCAGAGTCCCTGAACAGCTTCCCTGGCTGCTCCCTGACGGATGGGAGCTGTGAGACCATGGGATCTTCCTCCTGTGGTGCCCATGGGAGGTGCCTTGGGGACTGGGGCTCCTTTGCGTGTCACTGTTTGCCAGGCTACCACGGCTATCGCTGTGATAAAGGTGAACCTGCTTTTCTGCTTCCTTAGTGTAGGCTGCTAAATCTTACAGTACAGGAAACTTCAAGTATTTGCAGGTAATGATTGTTGAGGTGGCTTTACATTACATGCTGTAAAGCCATGTTGCAGTGTAGTTGCCTGTGATTGTTGACAATTTCTTTTCTAATTCCTTTTGAGAAATTGCTTTCTCAGTGCAGGATCATTTCTTTAAACCTGAGAGTGTTTGTGCAATGACTGTATAATGACATGGCTGCATGACAAAAAAATTGTGAGAAAGTATTTTATTTTGCTACAGTTGTTTGATTTGCATCTGTTTACACTTTCAGAAATATCTAATAGCCTAAAAAATATGAGTGTGCCAGTACCACTTTCTGTGCAGAATAAGAACCATGCAACTGGAATTAGAAATCTCTGCTCTTTTGCTGTCAGGAAGAGACTCTGCTGGCCTAAGGATCTATGCTTTGGGAATAGTAGGATTTTTAGTTCTCATAGAGCCAAAGTTTGCAGCAGAAAGACAATTATAAAATAGCAGCTTGTGAAATTTGATGGTGGTACTTGGTCTCCAGTCTATTCTCTTGGTCAGAGGTGCTGCTTCCCTGCTGTCATCCCATGTGAGCATTGTAAGGAGGAGTATTAGCAAGATCTAGTTGGGTGGGAGAACACCTCTTTACAGAGGAAAATGAAGTGTGAGAGTGACTGGAGAAGCTGTGGAAATAAATACAGGAGTGTGTCTCAGAGGACAAATTGTCTCACACATCCACACTGTGCATTGCAATTGTGCATCGCAATTGTTCCTTTCGACTCTCATTATGACATTAGGGCAATAGCAATGTTTCCCTCTCCCCAGGAGCTGGTTTAAAGGTTTCTCTCCCTTGCAGTGGCCAAGGAGTACAGGTTTGAGGCGGGCAGCCACATCCGCTACCAGCTGCCTGTCAGCGTGTCTGCGCGCAGGACGCTGCTGCAGGCCCTGGTGCGCACGCGGCAGCGCGACGGCGTCATCGCCTCCGTGCTGTCCCGCGCCAGGGACGAGCACATCACCCTGCAGGTGAGGCCACCACCCACACAGTGACAGGGACACCAGAGCCACACACAGCTCAGAGACACACTCACTCAACAGGTGGAAACAGGACAAAGGCCTTATGCTGAGCACCAGAGTCTGGGATTGGTTTTATGGATAGACACATCTGATCCTTTACTCGAGATACTGACCACTCAGCTGTGGTATCCCATTGGGTTTCAATGCCCACATCAATACAGAATCTGTAAAGAACAGGATGAATGGGGTGTGTACCTGCTGTCCTTGTGAACCATGTGGCCAATTCTGTGTAGTTCAGACTGCCAAGCAAGGTGCCTGTGGCAGTTCTAATCATGTCAGGCTCTGAGAGTGACAACCTTCTCATTTTATACACACCACTGAACAAGTCACCTCTTCAGCCATGTTGGTTTGAGCTGTGACTGTAGCTGTGATACACCCGACTCTCAACTATTAGAAGAACCCCATAAATTTATGCAAGAGAGATCAGAGTAAAATTACTCCTAAGGTGACTTAGATACTACTGTGAGTATATTGCTACCACATTTAGGTTGTCTAATTCAGTAGTATTGGTATTTCTGTATTACACCTAAATGTGTAGTGGTATTGGTATTTCTGTATTACACCTAAATGTGTAGTGGTATTGGTATTTCTGTATTACACCTAAATGGGCAGTGTAAACATACCCTAAATTTAAGCAAATACTGTAAGATTGAAGTTACAGGTCAATAGAAAATGCCAGGCAATGACTTTTCTTTTGTTTCTTGCTATTTGTTAATTATCCACAAGGTTGTTCAGGGATTCTTAGTGGTCTCATACAATCTGGGTGATGGAAACTATTCTGTAAGCCTTCCCTCCTACCACATTGATAATGGTGAATGGCATCACATCACACTGGAGAGAAATGAAAATGAATTTACTCTTCGCCTTTATGAAGGAGGTGGCAAGAGAGAGATTACTAAAGCAGCAGGAATATACAAAGAGATTGTCATTGACCCCAGCAGCTTGGTCCTTGGAAACACCTACCCATTCAGTCAAAACAGGAGTTTTCAAGGTAGGAATTCTCAATCTCACTGTTCATAATACGGACCTGTAAAAATAAAAAAATAGTGCAGGAAACTTTCTTGTTTATGTAGAGGCAAAGTACACAGATTTCCTGCATGACACTTTGCAACAGGGATGGATAAGCTGTTCTGACCAGAAGGTGCAGCAGGGAATTGCCTGCAAATACACCTGGCTACTGGACCTGGAACAATGATGGTCACCTCCTGCCTTGGCTGCAGAGTTGGTACCTGGAGATCCAGAAGCTTCTCACAGACAGACTGTGCATGGCTCCCTGCCTTGGATAGGCAGAGCTGGTTCAGTGCATGGTTCTGTCTGGTCCATTTGCCAGCTCTCCTTCCCTCGCAAACACATCTGTTCCTATGCTAAAAGCAATTTTTCCATCTTATATGTGCATTGCATAGCACCCACCAAACCCCGGTTTATTACCTTGCTATTACTGGATTTTACACTCTGTCAAAGCATTAACTAAAATTAGAAATAGTTTATTGAATTAGAGCTAAAAATCTGAATTTTTAGCAACTGAGTGGATAAGGTCACAGTGTGTATTAAGAGCAAATCAGTTTCTGGCCTGGAAACTGAGTAATTCCACAAAGGAGAAATATAAAGAACTGGAAGTTTGGGATATCCATGGCAGCTCTTTGCTCTGATCTCAGCTGGAAGTTTGGCCTTTGCTTAAACCCACAGTGCAAGTAAAGCAAATCAGCTTTTATTGCCAAGGAACACACATCAGTGCTGGTTAAACCTGCCTGGTGTCTATGGGTCACCTCTCTCCCATGCCCTTCACCTCTTTAACCAGGTCCTAGCAAATCCATTCAAAGCAAGCTGGTCATCTTTTCACCACACAAAAGTACTTCAATGAGTAATACAAAGGTGCCTGGAGAGAAATTAAATAGAGTAATAATTTACAACTTAAATGTATCACAAATTATTTAGAAAAAGATTGTTTTCTATTGCTTTACTAGAAGTATTCCAATAAAGTTTATGATATGGATTAGGGAGCATATTTTGAATTTTTTATTTATGGGAGTAATAGTGTTTGTTTTGAAGTAAATAAAGAAGTCAAATGGTTGCAGGAAGATAATTTTAATTAGGATTATTAATGTTGCTGTTAAGTAGCTGAAACTTTAAGGACTTCAAAGTCATAAAATGTACTTAATTAATCAAAGTGTATGTTTTCATGCTGAGGCATCTCGTGCATACAAAGTGAATGTCACACATCTTCAGTACAAATTTTCTATCCCTGATTGAAGACTCTCTCACCATTATTTGTCAACCCTGTGTTCAGCACAGTCCCAAACACAGCCCCACACCAGCCCCTGCAAAGAGAATTAAGCCTGTCACAGCCAAAATCAGCACAGACCTGCAGCAGCACTTGATTCTCATGGAAAGCGCTGGGAATCTTGATCTAAAACTTCAGCAAATTCAGTCCAAAACTGAAGGACAATGCTATGAGAGTTTAAGTGAATTCAGTCCTGGATTTAAACTTGGATAGCCTGTGTCCTTTGTTAAGCATAAACTGCCAAATCTTACAGCTGCTTCAAATGGTTCTTACAGCCTGCTGAATGGTTTTTAAAACTGTCTCTTTGTGCCTTCCTGTAGGATGTATGAAGGATGTCAGATTTAACAACTACAGAATCCCTCTGGACACTCACGGGAAGGAGCTGGTGTCAGTACTGAGTGCCCAAGGCATCAAAGAAGGCTGTTCTTCGGAGGCCTGTAGGAATAACCCTTGCAACCAAGAATTTATTTGTATTGATTTGTGGATGATGCATGAATGCAGGTAATTGGTGGAAATAGAAGCACAAAACCCTTCAGAATGAGGTGGGAAAGGGTGCATGTTGAAGTGTGCAGCTTGAAGGCTGGCACTGGCAATCTCATCAAATCCCTGGAGCCACAGTGGCACACAAGGCTGGACACCTGCACAGTGAGCAGGATACTGTGTCCTTAGAGACACCAGCACAGCTGATGTAATCAGCCTGGCTCCAGGGATTGTGGAGCAAATTCAGCTGCCTGTCTAATGGAAAACATTTAAAGAGCAGCAGCACATCCAGAATGCTTGTAAACCCTGGAAGCAGGACAGCCGGGTGTGTGAGCTGGAGTGGCACAGTTCCCTGGCTGTGCTGTGAAGCTTGTTTGCTGTGCAGTGTCAATGCCTGCTCTTGTGAGGATCTGATTTCCTGCACTGCCCCAGGCTGCTGCCTCTGTTCCCTCCCAGGCTCCTCCAGCTGCTTTGGGAACACCACACTATTGAGCTCAGATTCCTGTGCTTGTGCCTGGGGTCAGGACAACACTAATTCCTGTGGTGTGCAAATGAACACTTTACTTACACACACCTTAATGTTTGCACACTCTCCTGACTGTCACTGTCCACACAAATGGAGTTCTCTAACTCTGGAGACTCAAAGAACTTAGCACAGCTTGTCCTGCCTTGCCAGAACTGCAGAGGCAAACCCAGCTGGCTGTCACAAGGATAATCTTTCAGAAAGCAGTGGAAATACCTGAGTTCTGAAAGCCCAGATATAAGGGTCTGAAGTTGTAGAGCTCACGCTTACGGCTGCCTCAGGACAGCTATAACCTGTCATGATTTCACACAACTTAGTCCCAGTAGTGCTTTGGAAACTGTGCCAAAAGTGTCAGCAGAGTGTGTTTTAAACCCTCAGTGCTGCCTGTCACGGCTGTTCCCTCTCACAATAACCATTCTGCCATTGTGCCCCGATGTGTGCAGCTGCCCTGCAGGACACATGATCCTGGAGAACGCCTCGGGCCGGCAGTGCGTGTACACGGCGTGCGCCGAGCGGCCCTGCAACGACGGCACCTGCGTGTCCCTGTCCCCCAGCACCTTCCAGTGCCACTGCCCCGACGGCTACAGCGGGCGCCACTGCGAGGTCACGCTGGCCATCTTCCACAGGGACACCGGCCTCAGCTTCACCTCCCTCTTCGCCATCTGCGTCTGCTTCCTGGCACTCCTAGGTAGCTACGGCAACTACGTCCTGTACTACCTGTGGTGAGGCACGTGTCCACCTGTCCTGAGCGGCCATTGCTTCATCTCCTGCTGGAAATCCCCAGGGAGACCCAACTCTGCCTTCGTTCCCTTGCCCTCATCCCGTCACTGATTTCTCATCCTTCTGTGCATCCATTGCTAAGTGAATCAACATTTGTGAGCTGTGGAAGGTCTCTGCAGTTTTGTTTTCTTCACATTTTCACGTCATTGCTGAGGAACTGTTCACATGCATAATTGGAAGCAAATGCAATTAAACAGCAAGAGTGGAAATCAGATAAACATTGTTTAAAATACTGCTGAGTATAAAACAGATTTTTCAGTCTAGGAGAAACTTCTTGTCTGATAGGAATACACTGGTAAGGAAGGAGCAAACTTTGCATCTTGCCAGTTGTGTCCCAGCTCCTAAACAGCTGGTTTTGTTTTCCTCAGCCATGTCCAGGCTTAGGTATTTGATCTAAAGAGGAAAACCAGAAGGATGTTACTAGGAGAAAGGATCACATCTTGGAGTCTTGTTTATTCAAATGTTATGAAGTTTGCCTGAGTAAAGACATAGGGTTTTTCTCCTGGCTGTTAGCATTGAGGCAGTTTTGTTCAAAAGTTGCAGTAAGAGTATGAAAATACCATAGTTTTCCCCAACTCTGCTAGATACTATGTTTGCCATGCAAACATGAGCAGCAAATTTGTGGGAAGCTAAGTGGTATTGCAGCTCTTGGAATCCCAGATAGCTGAGGTTGATAATAGATCTCTATGTTAGAGGAGTGCAGGGCATGATCTCTGTGTACCCCAGTTTCAGTCCCAAGGCCATTTAGATGCTGCTGCACAGAACTGCTGCCACGTAGATGTTCCATAAGAGATTATAGTTTCTTTAGTTCACTGCACTGCTAATTTATGGTACTCAATGCTTTGAGGTCCTACTCTGAGCTTTTATTGATTTTTATAGAGTTGGTAGCAGAGTGATACACAATTTCTATTTACAGAATGTTCAGTATCTGATGTTGAAGCTTGTCAGTTGTGTAAATGCACTTCGGCATTTAAGGAAAATGTTTAAATTAATGAATGCTAAGGCAAAATGTGCCTGATTCTTGTTTTCTAGTAAAACATCTAAAAGTAATTTCCTCTTCTGTCTTGTGTCTTCTTGTGTTTCATTTGTGTGTAATTGTGTCATGTTACTGTCAACATGTTATTTCTTCTTTGTCCCCCTCTGTAACGCATTTTCTGTGACAAAGTTCAACTCCACACAGGACAGAGACAGGTCAGAGACATCACTTAGTCTTTAACCAACTTCGAGTTGAGCTTTAAAGGGTGCTGCAAAATGCTCTTTAAAGGCTGTTTTCCTTCTGTGTTTGATGTTCACCACACTGGACAGTGCAAAGCCCAGGCATTTGCTGGGAAGCCCCTGCTGTGCACGGGGGTTCTGGTGCCTGCATCACCTGTGCTCTGCTCCTGTGTCCCCACAGCCCTGCTCAGTGCTGCCTTCCTCTGGGCTCACTGGAGAACGCGCAAGGCTCTGCACGGAGGCGTTTACCACGGATCTGCTCATCCCGAGGATCTGGAGGACATCAGGGAAAACATCCTCAACTACAACGAAGAAGGGGGTGGGGAGCAAGATGAAGTAAGGATCACTGTTATGTTACAATTAAGAGGGGACCAGTGGCTCACTGTGCTAAGGAAAATGCATTTTGTGCTCTGTCTTCAGTCTTTGTTCTGCTGATTCAGCCCTGCAAGGGCCAAATGAATTATTTGGATGAGGGTGCATGTTTCCTAAGCAGAGATAAGTGCCTATCCATTTTTAATTTGTCTTAGAGCCAGTGATCCTGAGTCCACATTGATAGCAGCCTGTAGGATGGGTTTAGCAGCAGGGAACAGCTGCTGGGTTTGGTTTTGGGGCTCAGGAGTTCTCAGGGCTTATTCCTGCTGGAGCTCCAAGGGCTTGGAAGAGCCTGGTGTGAGTGTTGCTCATGGCCAGGCTTTTCCAGACCCTGCTCCCAACAGCAGGTGTTCACACCTCCCTTGCTGGGAAGGGGAGGTGCTGCATTGGCTCCTCTGAGGCCCTGGAGCATGTGGTGGTTGGGGAAGAACCTCTCTGCATTTTTGTGTTTAGAGAAAAATACACCACTGAACACAAGCTGTTTATACTTAGAGCAGAGCAGATTATGCCCAAAGCAGGTATTATTAACATTCCTGCTGGCTGTTCTAAGGTTTTCATGTGTCAGTGAGAGGCAGAGCTTGGAAGGAAAACAGTGAATATTATAAACAAGTACTCTTAATAGATTATTTATTGACCTATAGATGAGTTCTATATTTATATAAGGCAGGAAATGTCATTGCCAACTGATCATTTAATGGATTCAGGGGGTGGTGTGACTCTGCAGAGGTAATAATAGTCATGGTACCACTGTGAAAGCCAAAAAAAGTCTGATTTAAAAATATTCTCACTTGCAGAGTATCCTTATTTTCCTGGTGAATTAGTGGGAACGTAATAAACACAGACATTTCCCATGTGATAACATAGACAGCTCTAAAGCCTGTTTTCCTTAATCAGATTAACTTCCTCTGCAATATTTTGCAATTTTACACCCAGAAGGTCTCTTTGAGGAAATCTACAGTTACTGTATGACATGTTTAATTACTTTTGGAGAGTTCTTAAAATGCACTTCTTATTTTAAGCATTGGAACCAAATTAGTGACTTGATGATCTCCATCTGAGGTTATTATTCTGCCTGAAGAAACAGTGCTTGGAGTGAAGCCTCTCTGGGTTCTGTGTACTCTTCCTAAATTATTCAGATTTAACAGTTGCTGAGACTGTTTTAAGGTAAAACCTAGTTGTTTGTCTAGATTTAAAAACCCCAAACAAACCAGCCCCAAAATACCTAGAATTACACCACCTTAGTTGTGTTCTAATGTTACTTCAACAAAAGGATCCTGCTTGCATAAGAGAGTTTCATTTTTGTAATGTTTGTGGATGGTAGGGCTATGAGGACAAGGGGTTGTCATATGAAGGAGTTTCTGTATCTGAAATAAATAAAGTTTCCCCCCAGAGAAATTAGGAGTTTATAAAAATTGCAGGAGGTCAGTGCATTGTTGATTACAGACTGAACTCAGCTGACCACCAGATGTTGTTAAAAACCAGCTCTGGACTCAGAGGCAAGGCTTGAGCTGGGTTTGTGGATGGCCAGCCAAGAAGGGTTTATTATCAGAAGAAATGTGTCATTTTAATGAACAATTAGTAGCAGTGAAGAATGCTTTTATTATCACCCAGTTCAATGAGGGGAGGATCATCAAGTCTGCATTGGAACAACTCCCACTTGTGCACGATGCAAAGCTGCTCCAAGTCATGGATTCTCCTGGTACCCCTGCTCAGAGTGGGGCTGGACTGGGGCTTGCACTAAGTCAGGACATGCCTAAGGCAGGGATCTGGGCTGCAGGTCTTGGTGTACATCACCAGCTCTCCTAAGTCTCTGGAGGAATGGGAATAAGCAGCTCCTGTCCCAAACCCCATCCTGCCACTTAGGCAGCTTCTTGATTGCAGGTGAGGGGAATTTAAGTTGTTCTCAGCCTCCAGGGGAAATTCAGCAAAGCTCACTGAGATTACCTTGGTTAATCTCATGATTATGCACAATGCCACATGCTGGACAGCTAAAGAAATCTTTGGGGAAGTGCTGATTCCACACCTCTGTCACGGGTGGCTCCTGTTACCATGAACAGTATTAGCAACAGAAATAATTATTTCTTTGCTCTAATGAATTCTGTCCTCCTCCACCTGTCTGCATTCTGCTTTGGCCTGTAAATCAGTCCAGGGATGCAACCTTTGGTTGTAGGGAGGCAAAGGATGCTGGGGACAAGACTTGTTCATTGCAGGTGGCACAAAGATTCTGATCACTGAATGCCATTAACTGCTGGCATTGGCAGCTTTGTGCCAGAGGCTGTGGCACAATTCCCAGACAGCATTTCCTGCACTGAGCTGGGAGGGAATTAGTGACTTTTTTGGGAGTTAGTAGTTTTTGGCTTTTACACTTGTGCCACTGCCATGTAACATAATTAGGCATTATTCCAGAGACTGGTAAAATTTTATCAGAAATCACAGTTCATTTTTTAACTACTACAGCAGAAAGATTTCTTTACCATGCTGTTTGTGAATAACATGCTGTTTCTTACGTCTTCTGCTACACTTGTGGGATCAGTGTCCAGTCACGATAAGACACTTTGAATTTCAGAACAAAAGCTGGGGTGTTTCTGTCACGTTTATTTAGCTTTTGGATGAAATCAGACTCGATTCTGAGCGTGCCCGCAGCAGTGCAGAGTGCACAGGTGTTCCTCAGGCTTCCTCAGGTGCATGGCAGGTGCCAGAGCTGGCAGAACCCCCAGCCCTTCAGGTGCTCACAGCGGACAGACTGACTTGCCATCATTCCTTCTCTATTCCCACCGGAACACGAACTGTGGGACCTACAGAGAGTATTAACTCGCTGTGCCCCGTCTCTCCCCGCAGGACGCCTACAACATGGCAGAGCTGCAGGTGTCCATCCAAGGCAGCCCGGCGTACTCCGCGCACAGGAGGAAGGAGCCGCCGGCCGCCGTGAGGGCGCGGCGCGGGCCCGGGGGGGGCGCGGCGCTGGGCCGGGCGCTGCCCGCGCTGCTGAGGGAGGCCGAGAGCCGCGCCCCGGGCCCGCCGCAGGACTCGCTGCGCGTCTTCTGCACCGAGGGCGCCGGCTCCAGCGCCGGCAGCCTCAGCTCCCTCAGCTCCCTCAGCTCCGCGGGGCTGGGCGGCGGCGCCGGCGAGGACATCCACGAGTGGGGACCCAAGTTCGAGAAACTGAGGGAGCTGTACTCGCACAGAGAGGCGGGAGACCTGTAGCTCCCCAAGGCTGCTCTTTGCAGGTCTGGAGGCAGAGGTGAGGCACGGTTTTTTATATTCCTGCTCTGTATTACCCCCACACGGCCTTTTTTCCTTGTTACAACAGAGATTCAGATTCCCACTAAGGAGGCACATTGGTTTTTTATAGTCCTGCTCTGTATTTCCCACACCCGGCCTTTTTTCCTTGCTACAACAGGGATTCAGATTCCCACTAAGGAGGCACATTGGGCAGCAAAGGTGGGTAGGGGCTCACCTTGCCACATGCTGGACATCTGCATTTTGGTGTATAAACCAAATGGGAGGAATAAAGAGAGAATCTAGGGTATGCAGTTATTCACATACTGTGGTTAAGAAGTACAGGTCTTTTTTATCACTGAAGTAAGTCAGGACTCTTGAGGGATCCAGTGCACACGGCCTGAGGTGAGCTGGAGCTGAGGGAAGCATGCTGGATGTGCTCCTTCTGGTGCTTTGAAAGTTATTTGAAGAAAAAAACACCTTGTCTTTTTGTCATATAATGAAGTCCATGGTGTATTATATCTCTCTTGTTTCCCACAGTGCCCAGTGACAGCCCTGCTCACTGATCACAGTGCAGGTGCCAGTCCAGGGGTACAGGAAAAGGAAAGAAGCAGAAGGATAACTGGAACTTCACTTATACTGTGCTGAAATCCCTTTATGCTGCCATACAAAGGCAGAAACTGGATTTAGGCATAACACATGAACCCAGCTGCTCACAACTACATAATTTTCCTAAGGAAAAGGCCAGGTGTGCTGGCTACATGCCTCAAAGGGGGCTGGTCAGGAATTTCAGTAGCAAACACCACAGTACATCACAATCTCTCATTCCTAATGAGCTGCTAAACTGAGCCTAAACCAGCCTGAACTGTGCCATTTACATCTACAACTGTGTCCCTCATGTTTCCTTAAATTTCCTTTGATGGAATCATTGCAGGACATATCTGGGGACAGAGAAACACAGGGAAAAACTAACAGCAGTAGCAGGGGATGGAATGCTATGCTCTAAATTAATCAGTCCCTTTTGGAAACCATTTAATGTCCAACTGCTATGCCTGACTTTTCTTAAACTTGACAATGTTTGGAAAAGGTGCCACTAAATTAATTTTAATTATTATTTTTTTTTAATTGAGACCACTTGTACAGATAAATGGAGTACAATGCAGCAAAACCTAAATCTTAAGCTGTGCTGTTTCTTCTATGTATCATATGTGTATTATATCTATTATAATATGTAAACTATCTGTAATATGTACATTATATATTATGAGCTAATAATAGGAATATATCCTAGTTTCTAATAATGTTTCATTAAAACAAAGCATGAAACAATGTATTGTAACAGACACTGAAACTGCTTTGCTCAGTAGCTTGTTTTGGGAGGTCTGGCTTTTATTTTTATACATCTATTAAAACCCTTAAGTAGGTGAATGCTGTGTGCAGGCCAGCTCAGTTTGCATGTTTCCCAAATGAGAAATGTTCACACAGTACCTTGTTCTCATGTGCACTTGTGCCACTCTCTGGAAAAGCCTGAGTGCACCATTAAGCACTGTTACACACTGCAGGTGCTGGGCATTGTCCTCTGGAAAACCTAAACCCAGTTTTTACTCACACCCAATGGTTTTGGTTCACAGACAGTACAGTCTCTGTGATTTTGTGATTTTACTGACCCAGTTATTTGCCTGGGAGGAAACCTCGGCTGAAACATCTTGCAGTGTTCACCAGGCCAGTCTGCCAGCTCCTGTATTCCATCATCTCAGCAGTCACAAACAGGGTATGCAAAATGAACTAAATATATATAATATGCACAAAAATCTGTTCTTTCCTGAAGCAGCAATAAGTTTGTCTTCATACCTTGTGTTCTTCCCATACCTATGGACATGCTGGTGCTTTGGCTGGTTTTAATTTAATTTAGCCTGTAAGCTGCTTGGGGCCAACACTGTCTTTGTTTGCCTGTGGAGTGTCCTGCCTATCTCAGGCACCATATTAATAATAAACCAGCCTTCTGTCCCGGGTGTCTGTGCCTTGTTTGTGTTTAAGGATCACTGAAGAGTGGACTCTGCTGAATTATTTCTCTCTCAGCTGTGATCAGATGTGAGTCATGGGTGCTGTGCTGCCTGAAAAGCTGCTGCTGGTGGGCTCAGGATGCAGTTACCCCCCCAAAAACCACTCTGGGTTTCCCCAGGGGAACAAGACCTCACCAAAGCTCTTCCTCCACCCCTGAGGAACTGGGTGAGAGTGACAACAAGCACAAGCGGTGCCCAGGAACCCTAAAGGTGACAAACATGGGGCACACAGAGCACAGAGATGTTCAGGTGTCTCAGTTCCAAATGTTGCTGCCCTGCTCTGTAACCAAACATGGAAACACCCCCAGAGCCTCAGAGCTGCCTCTGCACTGTGAGCCCCACCTTGCACAGAACATGAGAGACTGAAACAAAGGGCAGGAAACATTTCCAAACTCCTCCAGGAGCTCCTGTCGATACAATCTCAGTAATAGGACACACTCATTTGCAGCTGTCATGCCCTATTAAAGCCTACTCTTCCTCTTTCCAGAGATAACTAATTAGTTCACTTAATTTATCTGTTTTAATTTGCATGCTGCTCTTTTAATTACTGTGCAATTGCTGAAATCGTATCCTCGGTTGTTCTGCATTTGCACAGGCACACACAAATATTTCAGTGCCTCTGCAGGAAGGCTTATCCCAGCACTGCCCTGGCTCCCAGGGAGAACAGCTGGCTTTCACAGAAAGCTCTGGGTCAGGGGGGAAGGAAAAATATTGAATAAAAAACCCCATTGGGTCCCTAGGTAGTGGGATTTGCAGTAATCTAGTACTTTTATTAATCTTCTTCCATGTTCTTTACAGACTTTAAACATATAGTAAGAACATTTTATTTAGCATAAAATGTTTGTAAAGGTCTGAAATTTAAATAATCATGTGGATATTAGTATTTAATCTGGCTGCCTGTCAACTACATTAATCTTGGTGTTCTTCCCCTGTTAAAATAACATTCCAAGTACATAACATGGAGCCAAGCCACAGGAAAGCTGATTGCCCTTAGGTCTGACCTACTGACCAGCAGGTTTAGGAGGGAAAACAGGGCTCTAAAGAAGCAGGATTAGGTGGGCAGAAGAAAGTTGAGCATTTTCTTAATTACAAGAATGCTAAAACCCATGGCCATCTCCTGGGGATTTACAGGAGGAGGTTCCCTGGAGCACAGAATCCCCTCTCGTGTGGCTCACATCCCATCAATTACATTAATCTCTAATTAATGCTGGTGACAAACTCCCCCAGCCCCCTTTAGACCAGTCCTGTACGTGGGCAGTTTTATCTCCAGCCCTGCATTTCCTGCAGCTCCTGCCACAAGAGTCACATCAGGACATCCTCCTGCACACAGAAATGTGCTCTGCACCCCCAAAGAATGCACCTTTCTGCTACAGTGTGGAAACAAGCAGGTCCCTGGTGGTCCAAGCATTTCATATATGATTTTATAGTGATATAATACACATAACAAAGAAAGAAATAATATTTATTTACATGGATATACTGCCTCAGTCTACTGACCTTACTGGAGCTGACATGCATGGGGTGATGACTGATAAAAATTATGGCTGTACCTTTAGCTTCTAACAAAGGAAGCCCAGCAAGCTGTTAAAACACAAAGGTGATTCCAAAAGTCAGTGCTATACACAATATAATGAGCTTGAGAAACCAAAACTTGCTTGGGAAAAATATTTTGCTTTCCTCCATATGGACTGAAACAAAGCTGATTCCCAAACCAGGTCTCTCTCAGCCCATCCCAACATATAAACAAGCAAAAAAAGTGACTTTCAAATTACACAATTTTATTTAGTATACAATAATCATTACATCTCTTTACAACAACATATTATAAAATAACTATGTTAGATCCCACCAGCAGAACACTGAAACAAGAAATTAAAATACACTTCTGGATCTCAAAGGCTTTTCTCTCCTAAAAAAGTCCTGGCTCCTTGACAGCATTTTGTCTCTGCAATCTAAAAAGCAGTAATTGGTACCACAATGCCACTGACCACATGCAGCACAGAGTCCTTGTGGCCACCAAGGAGCAGCCAGGAGCAGCCTGGGGAACCTCAGGAATGGAGGTGCAGCTTCTGCCCAGGCCTGGCTCAAACAGGGCACGAGGAGCTGGGACCTGCCCTCTTGGATTTACTGTCTGAATAACCCTTAGTGTCAAACCTTTCTGATTATCTCTCATAATGCATCTTTGTGTATAAAAAACCCCAAACAAACCAGATTGCACTTGGTAGTGTCCATGAAAAGGTTAAATTTCTCCTTTGGCAATATTAGAAACTGCATTTTTGAAATTGTTTAAAAATAATGACTGCTCCAGTCAGGACTTCTTAGTCTCAGCTGTTACTAGAAGTAAATTGTGAAGACAACAGGCGATCCCTGGGCCTGGGAATCCCTCCCTCCACCAAAGGGAAGCCCCTCCACCTCTCCAGAGAGATCCAGCTGCATCCTAGAACAAGCCTTACAGCCCAGACATCTTTCACCTTCTGTGTGCTTGTTTTCTGTTATGAAGGCACTCACTGAGGGATTCACTGACCCAGGCTTGCAGCAAGAACCATGCATCATTACAGGCCTAATTAAAGTTTTAATACTGATTAAAATGTTTTATTATTGTATTATGTTAAACTGCAGTGGTCTCCAACCTCATTAAAGGATACAGGCTAGGAATTACTCAGGAGTTTCAGCTGCTCAGTGTAACCACCCAGCTCCTGTCAGCATGTGATTTAACACAGCCTTCTGTGCCACAGAGAAAGGCAGAAGGATGTTGAACATTGTTTAATGAGTATTTACTGAATATAAAATTGTTTGAGCATCTGACATAACCATCTCCATCTCTTTGGTAATTTACCTTGGTACAGCTGAAAGGGAAAACACTTAAATCATTTGGAATTGGAGCCCAGCTCAGTTGTGACAGCTAATCTCATTACACATCTT